ATCTCCTGTTCAGTAGGGCGATATTTGTTCCGACTTTATCTGATTCATTCAGTGTGGATGTGGCGTCAGTAAATTATACAAAACTTCACATGGCATGTAAACAATTTCCCAACTTCACATTTGAAAGGCGCGTTACTGAAAGCATCATCCTCGTTTGTTTTTGATTTGGAGGCACTCGAGAACTGACGTCTTACGTTTAATTTGTCACTGCACTGTGGGAGTTAAAATACGAGTAATTTCCTGAAACGATGCATCCAAACCATACTGCACAAAACCCGGATGTTAGTTCCATGCTGAAATGTTCATTCTACTGAGGCGGACCCAAAGAATGCATACTAAATGACCACAAGGGTTCAGACTACTGAACCGCCCTACTGAAATGTCAGCAGAAAGCCACTGTACTATCCTGGAGACGTGCCCCCCCCCACCGTACCATCTTCAGAGGCATTACAGAGGGGAGGCGGGATCAGCTGAGGAAGCGGGGGAGCACAGCGCTGTGTGTGTGCATGTCTGACAGTGTGTGTGGAGCTCTCGCTGTGCTGTTCTTCAATGTGACCTCACAGACCGAGACACTGATATAGCCCGTCACAGAATCATCATGAATATACAAAGACGTGATGGCAGCTGAGAATAGTTACAACACTTCTGAGGATAAAAGCAGTCAGAACAGGGCTCTTGTTTCTTGTTTTTAAAGAATAAACTCCAGGCAGACGTGTTGACCGCAGTAGCACGGTGATTTACAGTATCTGAAAGCCAATCAAAGCCCTTCTCCATCATGAAGCCTCTGAGGAGTTTAATGAACACAGAGTGAACTAGAAGGCTCCGACCCTTCAGAACTTCATTTCATTAAAAGTTTTAGAAGTCTCTAAAAGTATTCTTTTAACCGGTGAATGGTCTCCTCAGGGTTTCTCACTCTTAACGAGAACTGGAAGTCCTCCATAATCACATCTTCAAACAGAAGAATTCAGCACTTTCAGTTCAACTCAATGCAAACAAAGATAATGTTTCAATAATGTGGCTCTTCATAATCCAGATCAGCTCCTGGATATGTCTCAGCTCGATGCTCTCCTTTGATCCTCTGTGGTATTCACAGGATGGAGAGGGCTCCCTCGTCATGAAGCCAGTTCAACCAGGAGAGACAAGTAAATGATTCAAAGATAAATATTTATTTTATGTGATATTGAATGATTGTCAGAGAATCTTTGGTGCTTGAACTCTGCAGGGAGACAGAGTGATTGAAGATGTCCGCCCTACCCGTGGAGTCCAGACACTGGTGGTGGAGGTGTTAGCTGATGATGTCATCTGGGCGAATACCATGAAGATGCTGATTGAACTGTGAAGATGGTTGATGATGTCATCTGAGGCTGATGGGATGAAAGCTGATCTCACTGAAGAATGGGGGATGGCGGCAAAGGCCGAAGATATCATCTGAGGCTGGTGGGATGAAGAGGCTGACCGAATGATGAAGACTGAGGTTGACCGGGACGATGGCTGATGATGTCATCTGAGGCTGTTGGGATGAAGACAGGGATGAGACTGCTAAGGCTTGGCGGTGATGGGAAGTTTGGGAGGGTTGCTTGTAATGATGGCATGAAAGAACTAGTGGAAGAGAGACAGCTGCAATATGATTGGCTAATGATGAGGGAGAGGAGCAGGGCTATTGGATAGATGTGACCAGCTGATGATTACGAAAAGGGGAGTCATCATGCATGGAGAAGCAATGTAACACAGTATGTGAATAAATAATAAGCAAGCATGCAGAAAAAAGTCTTCCTGACTGACCTTTCGCTAGAGCTACATGTATCAAGGTGACAATAACTGTTTTAGAACATTAACGCTTTGTCAACATTATGGGATATACTGAGGAAACAAATCTGCAGAGTAGAGATCTGTGAACACAAAATGAAGCTCTGCGTTAGTTCCTGCAGGACACAGAAGTCAAACGCCCCAGCTATCATCATCAGCTGACAGCGTTCAAAGTAACCCTAACGTTAACCCGTGTACTGGACAAAATCAGCAAACAGATAAGACCTCTTCCACGGAGGTCTCCAAGATTGACACGAACCAAAAGTTCCTCACAGGAAGTAGATTTTTTTGTGTGTATTTGACGGCTCCTCTGACCATGACGGTTAACTGCAGGTGTGTTCATGAACTTTAACTTTGGTTAAACTGTAACTTAATGAAAAGAAGTTTAATAAGGAGGAAGAAGGAACAGAGGGAGGAGGGGGGAAATGGAGAGGGCGAGAGATGGTTGGTTTGACATGACTCATGTCCAAACTCGTGTGTGTGTGTGTGTGTGTGTGTGTGTGTGTGTGTGTGTGTGTGTATGTGTGTGTGTGTGAGAGAGACAGGCCTGAGGCAGCTCAAAGGCCCCACAGGGAGACACTAATGACAAACATCCGGTTTGACGGTGACGGAGACACCGAACACATCACATCTGCTTCTTATTCTCACCCTGCTCTAATACTCTCAAAAAAAACTCCTTCGCTCTCCGCCCTGTTATCTCTCACACACAGCTCACACAGCTGTTGGTGCACCAATTAAAGAGACAGCGCACACAAAGCGTGCACTTCTTTTTCATGCTTCTGCACGGAGACACAGCAGTGCGTCCCCTTTCACTTCCGTGTAGATAATGAATGAATTCTCTGGGGCGGTTGTGTTCGGTGCATTAACTATTTAGCGGGATGTTTACGTTGAATCTGCTTCGACAAGTCTGTGTTTGTGTCACGCTGTCAGGAAGATAGAGAGACAGAGAAGGGGAGAGACTCTCACTTCACAGACTCTTCAATATTGGTCGATTGTATTCTTCATCATCTTGGAACCAGAGAATTTGACTCACAGCCTGTAAAGATATTCACCCCCCTCTGAATCTATGAATTTAATACCAAACATGAAATGTTTTTCTCTGTGCATCGTATAAAGGCCTTCTATTCTGTCCATCTCTATTCTAAATAACACATCTCTCCTGCAGAAGACTTAAAGTCACAGCTGCTATCACACTCTCACGACCTCCACGTCATAAAATCCCTCTCTGTGTGTTTCCCCCTCTGGACGTTATTGTTGCAATGAGCTGTGGGGCTGGGAGCCTGCAGCTGTGCTGATAGCAGGGATAGTGTGTGTGTGTGTGTGTGTGTGTGTGTGTGTGTGTGTGTGTGTGTGTGTGTGTGTGTGTGTGTGTGTGTGCGTGTGCGTGTGCGTGTGCGTGTGTGTGTGTGTGTGTGTTTGTGTTTGTGTGTGTTTGTGTTTGTGATGTGATGACGCATGTTTTTGAAAGGAAACCCTGCAGCCTCCTGATGGTGTCGTCTCTGGTTTTGTATCTTCCCATAAATGAAAATGTGCAAATGAAACAAAACTAACAAACAAAATCACAGAATATTTTTTGCTCGAGCCCCCCTTCCCACCTTGTTTCCCCCCCCCGTAGTCTGAGATTTGTCAGTCTAAGTCCGGTCTGCGTCTCTGTGTGTAAGAACTGGAGGCTTGGTCAGGTTTAACTGAGGACGTTCAGTAAAAATATCCTTCTTTCATCTTCCTTAATATTTAAAAGTAAGAAGTTAGAAAGAGCTACAAGAGCGCCCTCCGCTGGTGAAACATCATACAGCAACATATAAGGAGATGAGGTGGCATATTCTTTTTGTTAGACATTTATTTTGGGAGCTTTTTGTCCTTTTGTTTGAAAGGACAGTAACAGTAAAGAAGGAAATCAAGGGGAGCGAAAGATAGGCAGGAATGTCATGCGGATTTGAACCCGGGCCGCCCGCTTAGAGGACTAAAGTCTCTTTGCATGGGCCACCCCTGCAATGATTTTCTTTTATTGCAGGAGGGGGATTACTTTATGACAAGTGAGCTTAGTTGAGCTTGAGCTTGATTTTGTTGATTGATGAAAATGACAATCAACAATTTAAATAAGTAAAAATCAGTGTCTCACTGCCCTTACATGTGGCGCCTCATGAATTTGTTTTTGTTCATTTTTTAAGGTTGATTTTTAAGGTATTTGCGTTTATTAAGAACAGAGCCGTGGATGGAGTAGGAAATCAGGGAGAGAGAGAGAGGGGATTGGCATGCAGGAAGGGAACCACCCGGGTCATCAGCTTGGAGGACTGTAGCCTCCTTACATTGCGTGCGACCTAACCACTAGCCCATCAGCGCCCCATCCATCCATCCATCCATCCATCCATCCATCCCTTCCTCTTATCCGAAGTCGGTTTGTGGTGGCAGCGGGTGACGTAAGTCAACCCAGACTTCCCTCTTCCCAGCTCCTCATGGGGGGATTCCCAGACTGGAATGGATATATAATCCCTCCAGTGAACTCTGGGTCTACACCGAGGTCTCCTCCCAGTTGGGCGAGACCCCGGGGTTATAATGGTTAGCTGTTTGACCTTCGACCCACGAAAGTTAAACTAAAGTAGCGACATTCAGGATGGTTTGGACTCAATCTGCTCTCCAGTTGTCAACATTTTTAACAATTGATGATAGTTTCGAGGAGCACCAAATACTTTAAAAACGACACCCATTTCATAAAACGGGTGCAAGCATTCTCCTGCAAGCTGTCTGAATTGCACAGAAACATTTGCAACATGTTTATGCAACTTAATTTACACAGCGAGCAGGAGTCCGCTCGCAGTTTATGATAGTCGACATTTCCCTTTATTGAGTGCCTATAAAGGACTTGAATATGTGCTACTGTTATATCGATTCATGTATCACTATTATTAGATTTTTACAAGAATATCAGTTTAAAATCTGAATATGAGTGTGGGTTTGTGTCGTCAGGTTTAAGTGGGATATGAACTACAAATAGGAGTTATGATGCTTCGATGCCTCCTACTCTGCGTTATTCTAATGTTGGAATAAAGGCTTTATCTTCGAGGACAACCTGATGGCTATTATTGCTTCATCCTCCCCCATCTTCTTCTTCTCTTAAAAGGAAGCAGTCAGAAAACACTGCAACAGCGCCCTCCACTGCTGAAACATCTCAGGACAGAAAATGAGAAAACAGAGGCTTGCATCAGTTCATTTATTATTTTAGAAACACTACAGAGACTCCATCTTAAGTTAGGCCTTGAAAAGTGAAAAAAAAACCTCAAACAGTATTTACAGTGCATTGTTTTCATGAAGTAAACCTTCGTTACTGACTGTACAAGCAGAGTCGATCGTGAAGCTACTACTAACACAATCTTTCAAGTGGGTTCCAGGTACGCTTCAAAGCTGCGCCACGCCACGATGGGAGGAGCAAGTCAAGTTCTGTCCAAAACAAAGAGACAAATAGCCCCTCAGTCCTCCTGCAGGATGAGTCATGGTTCAGTCCTCCATGCAGTGTCAGTAGGGGGGCTCAGGCGGGGAAGGGTCCACCATCAAATGTGACAAAGTCATGTTTACACAATGCAGATTTGATTACCTTTGCATTGGTCTGGGTGCTGAGCTGCTGGTGCACATACAGCTCTTAGACTGATGGATAAATATGTGTGGAAGATTTATATCACTCTCAGGTTATCCAAACAGAAAACACAATTATAACCAATGTACATGTGTCACTCCTTCCACTGTTATTTTGTCATCACAGCAGTATGTGTCCTAATTTGGATGTAGGCCTTCAGTAAGTGTGTTTAAAAGGACACAGCCTCAAAAAAATGTTCTGATTGATGTGCGTAAGAAGAGAAAATATGGTTTAAAAATACTGAAAAATCAAACATTTTGTGCTCTAATCTGTCAGTGTTTTACCAACTAGGTCTAAAGAACATTTCTCTCTGGATCCTAAGGTTTGATTTTGCATCCATAATAGATGCTTCTTCCATAATTAGGGTGGTTTGAGAAGTGTTTTTATGGCTTACAGATGATTGAGGCTGATGGTTGGACTGTCTGCGCATCTGCGTAAGGAGGACGTCCTCTGAACTCCCCTCCAGGTGATGTCCCTCCTCTTTCTTTTTCTACGATTAAACATAGTCTGTCTGTGCGGAGTTCAGCCTGAATCATCTCCGCTGTTCTCGGACCCTCCCTTCATGATCTCCTCCGGCTCCTCCGCCGTGCCGCTGTCCGACTCCTCCTCTATGGCGAGGCGCGTGTCCGCGGACGAGCACAGGGAGCTGATGCTGCTCTGCTCCGTGCACAGCGAGCACGCGAGCGGCGAGGAAAGCGCGCCCTCGTGGAGGTGTCCAAAGTAGTTACTGTGGTTACCGCAGAAAGGCAGCGACACCTGCACCGAGCGTAGTCCCGAGACAGCGGGGGGAAAGGTGAGGCTGTGTTTCTTGGGCAGTGCTCCCCACTCCCGCTGCTCCTCCTCGTGCACAAGGCGCGTGAAGATGTTGGTTCTCTTCTTCTCTCGTCTTTTAGAGCGGAAATAACCCAGCATTATACCGCAGAGGAAGATTCCGTAGAAAGACATGACTATTACTATGTACAGGTACGCGTTCCCGCCGTTTTTGTCCACATGGGAGCTCGCGCTGCTCTGTGTCATCGGCAAGAGGCGTTTAGGTGGAGCAGTGGAGTTCTCAAGTTGATCCATTTTGTCAGTGGAGCTTACGGGAACTACCAAGAAAGTGTGCTAAAGAGAAAGAACGGAGTACATCCATTAATATAGGATCAATTTAAACCTTTATGCATACTTTACGCACGAGGAGAACTTCTCCACGTGCGGATTTCTTGCCGTTAATGATCATAAAGTGTTGTAAAAAATTGTAAAAAAAACAAAAAAAAAAACACGCAGGGTCCATATTAGAGATATTACAGTTTATCATTATGATAAAATACACTTGTAAATAATGACTCCATGTCTTTTGGATAAGGGTTTGGGTTTATAAAGTAGCCATCCTCATAGTTGACTGAAATACTTCTCATTCTAAAACAAATATATGTTATTTTATTTTTATTTTAAAGTTTTGCACTCATGTTAATTAGTTTTGACAAGTCAGATTTTTTGTGTGATCCTTAAAAAAAAAAAAAGTTACAAAAAGTTTGCAGAAACTGATTTGAGCTCAAATAAACCCTGAACACGGTCTTCGAAATAACAACAAGAATACAAAGTCAAACACTCACCAACCCAAAGAACAAAGTCTCATGTGAACCCTCACAGCTCGTCTCTTCTCGCTGCTCTTCTGGAGTTTAGCAGCAGCACTGAGGAACAAGTTCTTTATATAGAGACCCTGCAGTGTCAGCGTGAGTCATGTGATCAAGATGGGTGCTGTGGAAGTCCTGAAGGGGCGTTGAGTAAAAGGAAAACAGGAGTAACTTTAAAGATTATTCACTCCTCTTATGGGAGGCTTATACAATGATTTAAAGTATAAGTATTTCATTTTTATCGGGCAAATGTAAAAACAGTACGAGTGCTTGACGATGCAAACAAAGCTCAAAACAGACCAAAGATAGGAAGACTGTAATAAGTGACAATTAACATTTTCCACAGGTTTTGTTTTGCTTTTCAGATTTAACTCAAGTGTTCACATTCCGTTTTTTAGGTTATTCTAAGGGAGTGTACTATTTATTTTAAGACTAAGACTGAGAAACTATTGATTTAATTTAACAGTCTGACTCGACTCCTCCCAATCAGCGTGTCCACTTGGGGAAATTACACCCAAATACTGTAATAAATGCTGAAAAGTATAAAGTTACACATCATAATGACGTTATTAAATCAGTCAGGGCGGATTTCATTCAGTTCTTTTGTTTCATCTGTAATCTCATAAATACGTGTCATCATCCGTCTGTGTTTTTTGTAGTCCTCTGTTTCACACCCAACAAATCATGGTTTATACTTTCAATTTAATTAATGAGGGAGGAGAGGAGAGCATCCGGTTTTGGCGACCTCTGAGCTGAATCTCGACTCTTCGCAGATGATGTAGTACTGTTCCCCTGAAACTGCATCCCCCAGCAGCCACTGGGGCATTCTGTAGCAGAGTGTTAGGTGGTCAGGACGACCGAATTGTCGAATTGTCCCTCCTATCTCCTTTCACTATCCACTTTACCTTAACCCTGGGGAAAACGTCATGAGGTTAAGGAAAGACGGTAGGAGAATTCATAAAGGACTTTGGGAAAGGCGATCTTGTTGCTCTGACAATCCGACCACATTTTCCACTAGGCGACGTAATTAAATGCAACGGGCCGGCGGAGGTTAATGACGTGGGTCTGCCGTGGTGAAACTACAATGTTCCTAAAGTGGACTACAAAAAGCGCATCTAAAAAACTTTCCCCTGTGCCTTCTTACCGGTGAAATAATCCTCATAACCACAAGGTTGGGTTGAAATAAAAGGCATATAACCAGGCTACAAGTAACAAAAGTGAAACCATCAGCTTCCTGTCCACTCAAATCAATATAACAAAATAACTTTTAATGTATGAAATTAATTGTTACATTTATGCAAGATATAACCTACACATAATGTTTTAAGCATACAAATGTACAACTGCACAAAGTATTCTTAAGTTAATGAAATATGTTGCATAAAACATCATCTGGCTAAAAAAGTCTCTTATCCCTTTACGGTCATCGATAATGTTCGTGAACGGTCGGCTGCACGACTCGCTTAAATGTTGTGGCCGCAAGGAATTGTGGGGCTCAAAGGGGCTCCTTTGGTAAAGGATGGTCCAGTGTATCCTATGCTAAAGGAGATTATAAAGGAAGCATTGACCCACCTTTCCTTAGCTTTTTATCATGGCCGCCACTTAAATGCTTCCGGGTCATTTCACTCAGTTAGGAACCTTCCTAAGCAAAAATGACATTTCAAACGCACCCTGTGACATAAACTGTGAATATTACTGGATTAAGCCTGAGTGACGTCACCCGTCTGGTTCTTCAGGGGGCGCTGGAGTCCCATCGATGGCGATCTCCATGCTGGAAATGCTGTCTCAGTCTAACTTTTAGTCAACCAACGACAGGCTGAGAGCTGGAGTTGAGGCGGGTTTCAAGACTCCTGACAAACAGTTACACCACACCTACCTGTCAATCAGGTCCGCTACACGCCTTAATGCTCCTAACTCTTATCCTTCATCAAATCAAAATGCATGAGTTGTCAATAGCTTGAAAATGGGACAGTCCCGGTCAAATTGGGGCGTATGGTCAAGTAAATATGTCCTATACTAAATGTATGATTGCAAAACAAGAATGAGCTACTGCTTCTTGTAGACCAAGCACAATCTTTATTAACTTCTTTCCACCAGTTTTCATTGGCAAATTACAAATAAATAGCTGGTATGTTACAAGGCAGGCAGGCAGGCAGGCAGTCGAGGAGGAGTGGAGCTCCAACGAACATGTCAGTGACGAGTTCAAATGGAGGCTACACATGTGCGTCATCTGCTGATCACACGTCCACACATGTACACTCAGGGATTACAAAGGTGAGACTCAGAATCAAAAGAAAAGGCAACAGGTGTCGCATGGTGCGGGATGCTGGGCTCGTGTTTGTGGACTTGATTCACACACTCACATTGTGACGAGGCATGAAGCTGGTAGAGACAGACCGTCCAGCTGAATACGTCTCACCAAATACACAAACAAAGTTATATGTGTTCTCATTTTCCACCAGTGCACTCAGGCATGTGCAGAAAGGTTTTTATTTTTGCCCCATCTGGAATCGACCGCCTTATTTGGAGAGAAATTATCAATATTGCACGATGATTTATCAAATCTGACATGTTTACACAGTCATTTCATCTGTAAAACAAGCGGAGAAATGTGCTCGTTGGTGTTTGTCCAGCACCTAAAAAAGTACACTAGTAGGGAAATACAGCAGACTAAACAACAGTGCATCTTCATTTCTTTTTATAAATAAGACTAATGGGTGTAATTTGCTGTCATTTTTCTTTTTAAAAATCGGATACAAATCTGCTGTCATTTGCCCTCAGATGACTTTGTGCTGTGTCAAAGATGCGCCGAGGAGGGAATGGCGTCCAAAACCCGCGGGAGACAGAGTCAGACAGCAGGCGGGAAACAACATAAACCACTGACAGAACTGAAAACAAAAGAGTTCACCCTCTCCTGACCTGCAGGAAGAAGGAATTTGAAACCATGACAACCTTTCGTTGGGACGTGTTTAACATTTTTTTTTTCTCATAGGTGACAAATCAAAGCAACAAACCTCCACTCACACAAGCTGAGCTTCTGCTGTGGCACTGCAGAGAGAATTCAACAGACAGCGTTGGCTAACACACAATCTGTTTCATAACTCACATCTGGAAAAATAAAGACCCCCAGCGAGAGGTCGAACACCTGGGTATAAAAGACAGGGAAAGGCCTCAGTGGACAGAGATCTTTAATGTTCTCTTCGAGCATTGCTCAGCTTTTCTTCAGTTAAAAATTCATCATGGAACCTCAGAAGTAACACCCTATCCTTAACTGTCATTCTTAGAGGTCTTTAGTGCGATACGATTAACCACGTGTTCAGGTCGTGGTGGCGCTCATGTTCACAGAGAAGGACTGAGGGGTGCTGGGAGAGTTCAGGGTCAGGTGTTGGTCTGTGTTTTCAGAGGGAACGATGATGTGCTGCTGGTCCGCCGTTTTTATTTCCCTCCATACATTCTCTCAATGTCGTCCTGGTAAAGTTTTTTCAGCTCCTTGCGTTTGAGCTTGAACGCGTCAGTCACTAATCCCGTCTCCGGAGTCCACGGGTCTGGACTCAAGCGGATCTTGCGAGGGATCTCGAAGCGCTCTAGCTGGGCTGAAACAAAAGAAAAGAGTAGAAATACTAATGTGTAACTTCAAACTTCTGTATCAACCTGTCTCTGGATCGGTCGAGCTTCCCTCACCTGTAAGAGCATCCTCAGTGAGGATCTTGAGGACCAGCTCCTCCATGGCTTTACTGTTGCACAGCTCCTCCCACGAGCCGCGGATCCCGTACTGCTCAGCCAGAGCCAGCAGCTGCTTCTGATTGGGCACCACGAAGCCAATCACGTATGTCTCGTCACTACAGGGCAGAAGAGGAGAGAGGAAAAGAAAGAAAAAACAACGTACAACTATCAAAGTGTCTGGAAATTTGGTTTGGAATAAAAATGCCCAAAATGCTGTCAAGGTTCTGCGTCTCATATAGCTGCTTTCACACTTGCTGAAAACTCCTGAAAAAACTCCAGATATTTGCAGGAGGAGCGTCATGTGTGAACACAAACAGCTGAATGTTTCTCTCTTCACCCGGAGTTTCTCCTCCAGCCTCCTCGTATTTATTCTGCAGAAAGTCAGAGTGGGCTGATGTGAGAACGCAGCAGGATATAATCAGGAGAATTCACCTGGAGCGAGTGGGAGGGGGTGGTGACGTTTATTCCCTGTGATCGCTGCACGACCATAGACTGTCTGCACGCCACCTCTACGATCTCCGTGCTCTAATGAACCTGCTGCATTATGTTTCCTGTTCTTCAGTATGTTCTTCTCCACTCTTTAGTTCAGATTGTGATTCTGTTCAACTACACGTAGCATTGATAGAAAGACAAATATTCTCATTATAGCGTCATGTAGAGGACTCTGTTGCCTCGTATGCTACTTCTTACCTCAGGAGACACCCCCTGTCTGACAGGGATAGTCTCCCGCTGTGAGGAGCATGTGTGAACAACCAGTTCAGGAGAATATCCGGAGCAGTCCTCCTGAAATGATCTGGATATTTTCAGGAGTGCAGATGTGAAAACGGCTATCATGTCTACTGAACTCTGAATGAAAAATAAACCTTCATTAATGCCATGTTGTTGTTTTTTTGGAGCAAGAATTGACCATTATGGATGAGAAGACCGATAAACAATGTTTTTTGTTGTAGCAACTAGTTACCCATAGGTGGCCTCGCCCCCAGCTTAGCTGCTTTACATGAGAGACACTAACCGAGTGACCAGTGTTAACGTCACTACTGTTTACGGTAACTAGTAACGTATCTAGTTACTCTACAGATTCAATAACGCTGTTACAATTACCAACATTTAAAAGCATTTGTTGGTGAGTTGTTGTTTATGTGCAGGACGGAAAACTTCTCTCACAAGAATGAAGCATCTTTGCAAACAAAGGCGGGATTATTTCATAGACTGAGGTAGGAAAAGGCTCAGGTTATTAGTTTAAGTTCTAAGTTAGTCTTTTTTAATGATGCACCCCTAGAGCGTGAACACACACCTGTTTGCATAGGCACATATGTTGTCAACCAGAGAGCAGTTCTTCATAACAGCCTCCACCTTTCCCAGGGACACGTACTCTCCGGCCTGCAGCTTCACCAGGTCTTTCTTACGATCTACAAACACAGCAGAGAATCCTGTAGTGACAAAAGCATTTTCACGGCACATGCACAGCCACAAGTGTGGATTTGTAATCTTAAAAAAGGAGGAGTGAAGAGCCAGGAGGACAGAGCCTGCTTTCCACTGAACTGTGCTTATCTGTCAGGTGGCATCTAGATAACAGAAAAGATTCAGGGCATCTGGCCGACTGATGTAAACACCGCTGTGGGGGGGATTCTGGGAAGTGATGTGAAATCTGATTTGTTAAAGGTTTCCTGTCAGACTGACGGATGAAAGTGTAGCAGGGGGGTCGTCTGGAAAACATCCAGGAATCTGGGACACAGTGTTGATAACTCGTGCTTTTGATGTAGCAGCACCAGATCCCCGTGGCAAACTGCACTGAATAACCCACCTTCACTTTTCCTCACCGATTATTTTGAGGCAGCCGTCTTTGTGGAACTCCCCGATGTCTCCCGTGCAGAACCACCGCTGGCCATTCTCATCCACGAAGAAATCCTCCTGGTGTTTGTCCTCGCTCTTGTAGTATCCCTGCGTTACGTTGGGTCCACCAACCAGAATCTCTCCTCTGGGATGTGGCTTGTCGCTGCTACGATAACCACCTGGGAGCAGAGTTTAAATTCAGTGGATTGCATCTGAATGCTGTATTAATGATGCTGCTTCATGATAACCTTCTGGAAATAAAGAACCGACAGCGTGTTTTCTTTTCCATTCTTTCTGCTTCACGAGCCAAGAGAGCAATAAAGAGAGGCTGATGAGTATCAGGATTGAACAGATTTCAATAAAAATGAGCGATGATCTCTTACATAAAGAAGTCACACAGCACGTGAAAGGAAGAGAGGAATGTTTTCCTTACAAGGTTACAGACCTTCAACATGTTTCATGATGGAATATAATATGAACAGAGAGAGAGAGAGAGAGAGAGACATTGAGTCTATTTTATATACAATAAACTGAACCGCAATCATGTTTTTTCTTGATGTGCCACTTTTTCATCCAGTAGATGTCGCCCTTGAGCACTAGCATGAAACCGAAACAAACTGCTGTTAGGCCACACCTCCATACTGAAGCCTCCGCTCTCCTCCAGAGACACACCTCCAACACCCCTCCACTCGGGTCCCCACGAAGAATTTTACAATTTGATCACACCATAATTACCATTAAGCACAAGCGGCGGATTAAATTGTCCTTTGCCTGAGCTGCAATCACCTGTGTTCTGCATCGTTGTGTTAGCATGCTAATGTTAGCGCTCTGTAGTTAGCTCGTAGCTTCACATTTCATGTAAACTGACACAGAATGAGCGTGATCTAAAAACTCTTACTAACATCCGAATAATCAGTGAGTATGTTCTTCTTCTCTCTAGTCCTTGACTAAAACAGCTTTTATACACCACGAAAGGAGCCGGCCGTCCCGTCCATGTAAACACGGCTCTGACAACAACACAGCCAGCGGGACTCGAGCTTCTAACTCATTGTAGACAGTCATGACTCAGAGAGACATTTACACAGGATAGACTTGATTTATGATATATTTACAGTATGTGTAACATGTTGCACATTCTTCCTTTAAAGTGATGATAGTCCAGTTACTTGAGTGATGATGAACATCGACCTTTGCTGCGTGTTTTGTAAATTGTTTGTGTGAAACTTGATCGAGTGCAGCTCTCTTTTCATTTAAAATATGACCTGCTGATGAGAACACCCAGAGGTTCAGAGCACACTGAGGTTCCTGGTACGCACAGATATGAGTGAGCCAGCTTGGAGAGTTGTGAGTATCAGTTCAGATTTTTAATTTTCTCCCCCAGGGTCGAATGAGTGTTCGAATTTCGATTAAAAAGTGGCAGCCTGAATGAGAACTGATGCGTCTCCACATGACACACAGGATCACTTCATCAGAGATTATGTTTGTGTGTCTGTGTTTGTGTGTGTGTCCTCTCTGTCTTACTCACCCTCCACCCAGTCTTTGAGCTTGAACTCACAGCAAACCAGTGGCCCTCCCACTCTCCCAGTGCTGTAATCCCACACTGAAACAGACAACACACACACACCATCAGAAGGCACACAAGCATCAAGACAAGACATTTATTACCATAGCAACACGACCTCACTTGTTCTCTCACTATGGAAACTACATCCCAAAGGAATGTCCACTAAACAGTGTTTTCCTGGCTCGCATGACCGCAGAGGAGAGCAACAGGCAGCATGTTGTTTTATCTGCCTGGGAAAGGCTGCCAGTATTTCCATTATTTCAAAAACAGGTTGGAAATATTCGCCAACAGATAAGACTTAAAGGTCAAAGCAGATCTTTGAGGAAGCGATCACCACCAAAGACACAACTTGCATTCTTTTTTGAACATCTTAAGTGATTCATGTCTAATCATAGATTCTTCAGAAATAAAGACATGTAGAAGAATATAGGGGGTCCGATATGTTTTAGTTTCCCGTATGTGCTATTTCTTGCAGTCAGATTTGTATTTACCAATCACGTGTTAGCAGGCTTTAGTGAATCTATGAAAAGAGTCTGTATGGAGAGCAAAACCGGTAGAACGCAATCTGAGTAATGATACCCCGACACATCTTTTTTCCACATCCCTTAAAGGTCACATATTCTCCTCCTCTTCAACCAGTCTAAATAAGTCTCAGAGCTCCTCAAAACATGTCTGTGAAGTTTCTTGTTCTAGATCCACCCTGATCCTGTATTTGATCATGCCTATAAACCCCTCTATTTCAGCCCTGCTCAGAACAGACTGTTTCTGTGTCTGTACCTTTAAATGTAAATGAGCTGTGTCTGACCACGCCCCCTCTCTGGAAGGGCTCGGGTGTCTCGGGCTTTCTCGCTCCATGTCCTATTGTTTACGTCGAGAAGGCAGACTCAGAGGGCACAACAAACACCTAGCTGTGGGAGTGTAACCCACCTGGGGGAGGGGTTACTGCCCTTTGTGATGTCATGAAGGGAAAATCTCCAAACGGCCTGTTTGAGCACACATTTTCTGAAAAGTGGAGCAGGCAAAAGACAGAGGGTGGACTTTTCTCATCATTGGGGGGTTTATAGACAGACTAGGGACACATATTAGAGTTAGAGAAACATGGTGAAGTAGATTTTACAGAATATGTTACCTTTAACTTAACATTTAACATCATGCTAACCGCTTAGTATGGGATGAATTTTCCTAAAGTTGACTTTTACATGCCTCCCTTTTTGAAAAAACAAACAATCTCCTTTTTTCTCAGTTAGTTCAACCCACGCACAACATATCTACTCCTTATTTTCCTCTCATCCATTTTTCCATCCCTGCAGTGAAATTCTCTCACTGCTTGTTATCTCTGCTTGTTATCTCTGCTTGCAGAATTTGGAAACTTTTTCTATTATCTAACATTTATTTAAGCAGGTCATTAACCCATTGAGATCAAGATCTCTTTCACTGGGGTGACCTGATGATGTCATGTGAGGCCATTTTCACGTTGTGTTTCATGTTCTCTGACTGTGAACTACTTAATGATGTCATCAGTGCTTACGCTCGCTGATGGTTCCAGCTCCGCAGGTCTCCGTCAGGCCGTAACCCTGACCCACCGGGCAGCAGAAACACACATTCATGAAGCGTTGCGTGGCGGCTGAGAGCGGCGCTCCGCCTGAGAGCAAGACTCTCATTTGACCTCCTAGCAGAGCGCGAACTTTCCTGAACACCAGCCTGTATGTCGGAGCAGAAGACAGAAGCAGGTTGATTCAGAGGGATTCAGGGTGAGTATGTGAAAATGAGATTAAAACTCGACAGTAAAATGTACACACGTGTCACATAGAGGTGTGCTGTATCCTTTGGCGAGCTGCTCCAGTTTGTAGTTATATGCCAGAATGAAGAGTGTTCGCTGGACACAGTTCATCTCCTCCACCTTGGTCATCACGTTCTTGTAGATGCGATCCATGATCTCCTGCAGCCAGACAGCCGGGCAGAGGGCCGAGGTGAAGTCGAAAGAAGAAATGGAGCCCTGCGTTAGTTCAGGCGGAATACGGTAGTCCTGCCCGCAAGCGGCTATCAGCTGATCTGAGAACCGCCCCAATGCCAACCAATCATTATCACACTCTGACAACAAGGCGGTCTATTTAAACCATTCTGCCGCTCACTCCTCCTGCATCACATCCAGTCTGCTGCTAGACTCCCCGACCTCCACCCGCATCAGTCAGCACATTTTATATTCAAGGAGCAATTGTTTGCTTGTTATGTCTGCAAGATGTCAGTATCATTACATGCACATTCAGGTTCTGTTCTGCATGTCCCCATGGTGAGTATTAAATGTTTGCGCTCTCTGATCTGTGGCACGCTGCACTGATACTGCTGAGAGCTAAGAGCAGAACCAATACCGCCAAATACAACTGTACAAGCCAAAAGTGCAATAAATGGTTAAATCTATGATGAGAGTATTCCTGATTAAAACAGGAGATTTAATGTGAAAATAGAAAATGATGCTAAAACTATATGTGGCACTGACTGCTTTGTCCTTGTCGTCACAAATCATTATTTAGTGAGTTGGCTTCTTTTCATGCACCAATTACATCGCCCTTTGTTTGCAAAGGATTCGACCCCTCTTTAAGTCTGCAGCTGAAAACAAAGAGAATCATTTGTTTCCTTAAAGGAAACAGGACACCCAACCCTCCAAAGTAGGACTCAAAACAGAGGAGCAGGCTCGAGTGGTCGGGACAAATTCAGCCGTAGGAAGTCAAAAACACAAAGAAGAATCAGGCCGAGTATTCAGCCTGTGAATTCTGACACGATTTTTAAAGTCCCATGTCTGATTTTCACGCCAAATTTCAGCTTAATCGCACTTTGTTTGCCTTGAAGTGTACAGGATGGTCAAAGAAGAAGAGAAGAAGAATTTTTTTTTCCCACCAGGATCTGAACTGGCGACCCTCTAGTTTCCAACCCAAGTCCCATCAGACTGAGCTACTACTGCCTAAGGGCCAATCCCGGCATGACCAGCCACTCTCAACCAGTCAGATTGAGTTTCTAGATTGTTTAAAATTTTGCTCGCACGACTGCATAGCCTTGAGAAGTGAAAGCCGAACCATGAGTCGTTTCACATACCTGATATGCGCCTGCGTTAACTTGCATCTGAAAGCACCATGGCAACAGCAGGCAAGTCATGAACGATATGAACGAGGGAAACAATAGCTGCAGACCTCCAGCTGCTTGGGAATTATTTTAGCTCGTGATTATTGGCGATGGTGTTGTTGTCGGGGTTTGTATTTGAGACGTGCATTTAAGACAACCGAAATACGCAAAGATCATAATCCGTCTGAGGGAGTTTTCAAAGGAAACTTTATTGACAATTGTCAACGCTCTGTCTGGAGCCAGAGCCCTGAATTTTCCCTGTGGCTAAAATCAGTAAATATCTTAAATGGAAGACGGACAGAGCTCGTAAAGGAAGAAAGGACACAACAACTTTCTCTAAATACGCCAATACCAGAGGAATAAATGAGTTCAATGTGAAACAAATGTGTTCTTAAGCTTGGTTGCATAACAGAAAGGCTCCCCTGGGGGTTACTGACAACCAGTGACCCACAGAAGCAGAGAAAGAAACCAAAGGAATCCAGGACGGGGGGTCTCTGAGTCGATTAAATAAGAGACAGAAGTGAACTGCAATGACCTTCAGTATCCAAATCCTGGAGAGGCCAATGGAACTAAGACGTGTGTACAGTATAGTTTGACTTTTTGTGGGGACATGAAATACAATTGGCAAAAACAGATGCAAACATGAAGCCTACTCTTGGGCTACCATACGTTCAGATTTGAGCGGGACTGTGCCATTTTTAAGCTCTGTGTCCTGAGTTCCCACAAATATCTATAAAACACTAACATGTCCCGGATTTGAACAGTCCCTGTCCTAGTTTTAACCAATCAAAACAACACACCATGCTAACTGGTGTGTCAAAAGAGAAACCACACTAATGCACCACAGGTCAAAGCTCAACACTGACTAGTTTGTACATGTGTCAATCTCAGGGTTTAGGCTGTTGCTAAGCTAGCCTAGTTTATCATGCTAGCAGGACCTGCTGCGTGACAACAGGAAGGCGAGCTGTCATACTGAACAGGAAGTCAACTAGTCTACTTTTAATTTCTGTATAATCGACAGATAAAGAAGTCATTGGTGACATCTCAAATAGGAACCGGGGCGATGATGGGAGACGGGTCACACTGCTGCAGGACTTCCTTGACTTTTCAAAGCGACCGAAGCACAGAGATCAAGAAAACTTCATTATGATCACGTGACTTCAAAAGCTCAAAGAAAAATGGGTAAAAGTGCACCGACGTGTGTGTGTGCTTGTGTGTGTGTATGTGTGCTTATGTGTGTGTGTGTGCTTGTGTGTGTGTGTGTGTGTGTGTGCTTGTGTGCGTGTAGTGTGTGTGTGTGTGCATGTGTGTGTGTAAACTTAAAGCAGTGAGAGAGGAAGTGAACACAGGATTCATGCAGCAGCACGATGTCATATTACAGCAAACAATGTTAGTGTGTATGTGTGTGTGTGTGTGTGTGTGTGTGTGTGTGTGTGTGTGTGTGTGTGTGTGTGTGTGTGTGTGTGTTAGTGTATATTGGTGTGTGTTGTGGGGATAACCACATGGGGCTTTCTCACGTTCTGTTTACAGCTGTGAATGGTTCCAGACACTGGGGCCCTCTGACCTTTACACTACGACTACTGGGAGATGCCGGGGGGGGTGACTGGGGGAGGGGGGCTCTGAGCTAATGGTGTGAGAGAATACAGCGACGAAGTCATATAGTCTCAATCTAAACGACATGAGCGACACGTTTATTATCTGCTGTCGGGGTTTTTTTTTCCAAGTGTCCTGTGCATGTTCAGGCACATCTATTTCCAAAAGTCAAAGTCCGCGGAAACGCAGCTTCTCCCACTCCTCCTGTTAGCTGCAGCATTAGCCGCATGTAACGCAGTAGTGCTAAGGTGCTAATGTTTTTGCTCCACTCGGAGCCAAAGTGGCTGCATTCCCAATATGGTAAAAGGGGCGGGACATTTACGAGAACCGTGCTGAGCGACTGACCAATTACGGCAGAGCCGACAGGCCGACCAATCAGATCAGACTTGCCGCACGTGGAGACTCTGAACGTGGGCACTTCAGAGCCTTAGAGAGAGAGTCAGAAGCGAGCTGGTGCATGGAGCGGCAGTTCATGAAAACAGACACTTTTTTTTTACTTTAGCTATTGTGAACATACTTTAGTAGGTACATAGATTAAATATACAAACCCCAAAAAGGGCAGAATATGACCTCTTTAACTCAACTGGAAATGTATGATTTCATGATTTCAGATAGAAATGCCTACTTTGGTCTCTACAAACTGTAAAAACATTCTGAAACAAACAAAAACCAAGTCAGAATGAGCTGCTCTGTTCTTTCATTGAAAGCATTATCTGAGCCATGCTAGGTTTTGAGGGAAGCCGTTCCTTTGCATCATCTTTGCCTGATTGCATCAGATGAACCTTCTGAACGCTCTAACCCGCGAGTGTCTGACTTTGATTTGTCATGTAGCACAGCTTTGGTCAGCAGGAGGAGGGAAAGAGTATTTACGTCACAGTCGGTCATGAGACAGATCCAGCAGATCCAGGCCTGCTGGACTCCACAGCTGGACTATGCACAAAAACAGAATGAGACCCGATCGGCTGCCAGACGAGGTCAAACAGCAACGCTTGATATGTAGACTTCAGGGAGGGTGAGTTGGAGACTTCTCCAACATTTGACTGTCTAATGCATAGTGCTGAGTGAACGGTCGGGACATACCGGGACAGCTGCCATCAGCGTGGGCTGCAGGACGCTGGTGTCTCCCTTGCTTCCCTTCTTGATTTTCGTTGACTTGATGAGAAAAAAGAAAAATCACAATCATGTGGTAAGTGTGGTTACAGTGTGTTTCCCAGAAAGCAAAAATCCTGACGTTTTTCTTTCTTGTTTTCAAGATCACAATATCTTGTTCATCTTTGTTGAATCAAAGTGAAGCACAAACATTTCTTTCAAAGACTTTCACAGAAACATAAAATATAATACAACATGCAAAGAATTACACCACACAGCACGACGTTGCTGGCTCCCTGTGTTGCATGTGATATTCCCCCTCAGCTTCTCTTAGGTGCACTTTCAGTTTAAGGGGGTAGTTACAAGAAATCCAATTGTTTGAATCCAGGGACCCGACCCCTACATCCCACTTCATTTATGACCTCAAACATCATCCTAATGAGTCACCATTTAAGTCTTCCTCAGTACAGCATGATGTTAACTTTGTAAATTATGGTCCCAAAAATCGCCCGACTCGATGCATCGAAACATTAGTCGACAAGTCTACGTCTTCTCTACGCCTTGACTGAAAAAATAAGACCAGCTCTGGAGAGTTTTTTGCACATTTTAATGGAACCTGTAGGTTCTCCTTCACACTTGAATGGAGAGCGTGAGGCGACATATAATCAATTTAATGCAAGCTGCAGCAATACTGCTAAGTGTCACTAAATCCCACACAGTGCTCCTGTAGATTCTGATACATTTCCTGTAGCGTACACTTTGTCAGAATTGAGTCTAAAGGAACGCCGCAGTTGCTACTTGAGATCCTGCTGTTCAATGATAAGCTCCTTCACTACAACTTAAGTCAAGGGTAATCACACATCTGGATTCCCTTCTTGAATGTCAAAGAGAATATTTTGTTTATGTTGCAGAGCAGGTGTGTTTAAATCTTACTGTACCTGGTCTGCCAGCGTCTGAGGTGACGAGTAGCCGATCCTGCAGCCGTGAGCAACACATACGAGCTCTGCACTGAGCTCCAGCACGTGTGCAAGAGGCAGATAGCCGATGTAGGTGTCCTCCTCACTGTAAACCTCCTCACTGTAAACACAAAGACACTGTTATTGCCAACTCTGTGAGAAAGCGGGGTCATCTCATTCAAGCATTAGCTCTGGTTAAAGGTGGAGTCAGCAGCGTATTCTTTCAAAATAAAATACAGACTTCTCCTCAAGTAAAGCTGCTCCATCATCCCTTCTGGGCCTCCATACATGTGTGGTGGTGACTGTGTCTGCAGAGACTCTGTCCTCTGACTGGATTTTACTGTTCTGGTTTGTTCTGGTTGACTCGGGACGTTTCTGGGCGGAGCTGGTGTGTTTCTTCCAGCCAATGACAGCGCAGCAGGTGAGTTTAGGAGTGGATACAATTCAGCAAATAAGACAGACGTGGACGTAGCAGCAAAGAAGAGATAATATAATCAGAGTGAGGAGAAACACCAAGTGGATAAAGCTCGTTCTAAAACGAGGGTGAACCTTGTGTTGTCTTTTACCCGTGGACGTGGAGTTGGTCTACTTCCTGTTGGACAGGCAGGTGACAAACACCGGCGGTTAGCTTGTGCTAGCGTGCGTTAGCTTGCAGTGGAGGAAAAAGCAGTAAACTTAAACACTACATCCTGCAGGGAGGGTGAGCTTCTGGGGACGATGAGACCAGGAGGAGGGGCCCAGTTTGAAGTTTGTGTTTACTACATTTCTGCTGACTCCACCTTTAAGTTCATCAAGCTACATAAATGTGGTTTGTACATGCATCATCTGCTGTTTAATCAGTTGAATACAAATAATCAAGCTCTCTGGAATCATGAATCTTATTCTAGCAAGCTTCAGAAGATAAACGTGCATTAGAAGGATTATGTGTATTTGAAGTAGTAGCCATCTTTTCCTTTGTTTGGACTTGAAATGATCTACTGGTCTGAATCCTCGGACTTCTCTGGTATCACGTTTCACTGCGTGCAGGGGGAGAAGGTTCACACAGTCATACTACTTAACACGACAAGGGAGGCCATCCTTTTAATAAGAAGCTGGATTGAGATCACTACATCCGTAACCTCTCCGACCTCCATCCTCGTCACCCTGACTCCCTTCCTCCCCGTCAGTTTCTCCTCCTCTCATACTGAACTCCCTCCCTTCCTGCATGTCCTTTAACCCCCGTCTCATTCCCCAGGGAGGAGGGCTGCTTCTTGATTTAATGTAAACACTGACATCATCTGATGGTACGACTGATTGACTAGAACTCATACACGTGCTCGTTAAACATGGACCAAGATGCACGCCTAAAAAGCTAGTGATTTATTTGAATAATGTTTAAACTCAAAGTTAAAGAAGACAGCATAATGCCAGCGACAGCTGAGATTCATCACCGGGGAGAGTTTGAAACAGCACGTCCTTACTGAGCTGATATAAAAAAAGTTAAAGTGTTTGTCTCTTTTCAGCTTCACTGACGTGATCGGACTAAATGGATTTAGCTGCAAATGGCTCATCGGGAGCAGTCGCCATGCTGGAAATGCTGTCTAAAAATCTAGTTATCTGTCGTCCATATTTCTCAGCCATGAGCTCTGAAATAAGTTTTTAAGTACGATGTAGTGTAGCCTACCACAGGTTGGGTATCCGCTCTGCCATGCCTGTGATGCCAGCGATGATGTTGCTATGGGTGATTACGACGCCCTTTGGTATTCCGGTGGATCCGCTGGTGTACATGATGACTGCGATATCTGAAGGAAGCGGCTGCTTACGCTCTCGTGCTGCTGTGATGTGAACGAAGACGAGACGATAAAATGAACAAACAGTCAATTACAAAGTGGTTTGTTGAAACTGCAGGAACATGAACATTACTAAACTATTACTGCAGTGCACAAATATGACTCCATGTTTAAACAAAGTCCACATAATCAGCCCTTGTTTGCTCCATTGGTGCGAGACATATTTCCCAGTGTGTGTAATTCAAAAAGGCTTTTTAAATAGTTCAGAAACAGTCATGGAAAAGTGGGATATTCGACAAACGGGTCAAACGTGGCTTCTGACTCGTCTGACGTTAAAAAATATGGAACCTTCTCACTCCTCTCACTCTTCTTCCTTAGCTCCTTCATATAGATGTGGAGTACGCCCCTCCACATCACCGCCCGTCTTTGCAGAATCATCATCTGCCTGATCGGACCGGCTATCAGGTGACTGTGTGCACCAGCTTTAGACACCATGCAGGATTCATAGAGTAGCTGAGCTAATGATTTATGTTTTTTTATGGTTTATTTGGGGCTTTTTATGCCTTTATTGTAGAGACAGGACAGTGGATAGAGTCGGAAATTAGGGAGAGAGAGATAGAGGAATGACATGCGGGAAAGGAGCCACAGGTCGGATTCGTATCATGCTTCATCCTTTAACTCTTCCTCACATCATCCTGCTGTCTGTCGCTTCATGTGACCCTCATTCCTGTCATAAGCGCTTCAGTAAGGAGTCATGATGTAGTGAAGCGGTGATTCAGATTGTGCAGGAAATCTAATAAGAGCACGTGTACTTCACTTCCTGATCCCTCCATGGGCCTGATCTCTGAATTGAATTTGAATTTATTTGGGACAATGCAATTTAACATAGTTTCATTACAAAGCATGAAACTGATGTGCTGCATAAAGAGTATATAGCAATTGCTAATTTCCAACTCGTGTCCCCAGTTGGGCCTTTGTATAAACAGAGTAAAAATGTAAAACCTTTGGTTACATAAAACCCCATGACACTATGAGGACACATTAAAATACATGTACTACAATACAAATGCTATAAACCAGCTTTTAAGATACTATTTAAAAGTGGCTCTGGTTCGCTTTCAGCCAGCATTTCACCTTTTTTGTAAACGATTTTAAGTCTGAGTTTAATTTTATTTCAGGTGTTTAATGTGTTTCAGAGTTTCCCACCTTTGATTGACCAAATGTAGATCTACGCTGTTGTACGCTACAGTTTCCATTCACTGTGCTTCTTGTTACCCTGTTGCTGTCCTGTAAATAAATAAGTAAAGACCAAATCAATTTAAAGTGGGGAAACAAAAGCAATCAGGCGTTTGCTATAGACAGATGAGAGCTAGGTCGTGGCTGTAGAACAGAAACCAGATCTGAGATCTTTGAGTGAAGCAGAAAACTCAAACAGAGGATGAAGGGGAGGCAGAGAGACGTCCTCCCTTCCTCCTGTTTCCTCCGTCATAACTCTGAGTTGACTTCATGTGAAGTTATCTGTTGCTGTGTGTAAACATACGCCTCTCCTGAATCCCACTGCTCCCCCCCCCTTCATAAATCCACTTCCTTCCTCTTTATCTGACACGAGCTGCTTCTCTTGTTTTGGGTCAGTCGGTTCAAGGGGCCACAATAAAGGGCCATGAGGAGTCATCCATCTAATAATCCCCCCCACCCGCCCAATGAATGAGCAACATATCAACCTTAATCTGACACAGATGTGAGTCCTTCCTTTTTCACATGACCTAATGGGACTGAAACCAGTTCCCCTACAAGAAGAGAACCACCATGACCCCGAAGGTTACACTGGGACTATCTGTTTCTGTGAAGAGTTTTACACAATTCTAGTAAGAGGAGGAGGATCCGTTAAATAAAAAACAGCCCCTGATAAATTGTGCATTTGGATCCAGATGCAATTAGTATATTAGCATAGTATTAACTCTATTAAGACGATGGTGTTACTTGTGGCGCTGTTGTCTCTCTCCCTGGTCCTTCCTCTGCCGGCTGCACACCTGAGTGAGGAGGAGCAGGATTTAGAGGAGCAGGAAGAGGAGATAGGCAGCTTGTGCTGACGAGCTCTGTTCCTCTATCATACTTTTTGTGCTACCTGTTTGTTTGTTTTCTACCCAAAGCTGGTCGTCTTCTGTCCCAGTGCACGTTAAGATGGCTGGGTTTTATTTTAGTTTGTGCTGGAGATCACTAATAGTCCTCTTTTCACTCTTTTGTTTTTCTTAGGTTATTTTTATTTCTTTGGTAGTTTTTCCGGGGGAGGTGCTGAGAGCGACCTTACTATCTGTTGCTCTTCTTGGCCGGGGTCTCCGGTCCCTTTTTTCCTTGGTTTATTCTCATTGAGTTTTTTGGTGTCTTGGGTGGCGTCCTTCTTTTAAAAATGTCCTCAGAGGCCGAAACAGATGGACTTCTTTTACTTCAGAGCAATGGAGTTGCACGTCAAAAAAATGGAACAGTGTTCACCCCTCTGCCCTCTGTCAACACACACACACACACACACACACACACACACACACACACACACACACACGTTTACCATTCTCCGGTTTGGCTCCCAGCTTCTGAACAGCAGCCATGTTGTGGACACTGATGCCACGTGCATAGCTGGGCCATGAGGTGGGCGTGCTGTCCACTACAATAATATGCTGCAGCCTCGGGACTTCGAGCAGGATGGCCTGAAACACAGACGGATAAAAATGTAAGCATGAGCACAAGAACATCAGGCATCCACGTGCAAGTGTACACACCTGCATGTGACAAAACCCAGGGTTCTTCTTAACTCATGAAACCAAAGCACGCCCATCTTCATCAGTATTTGGGCTGAGCGGGGGATGTGTGACACAGAGCAGAGGAGCTGTTGTGTTTGTTTCCACGATAAAAGCGGAGATGACCTTCCAGAGAATCCTTTGTCGCTGGCCCTGAACTGAATCTTTGACATCCAGCACGTGCACTTGTCATTATTTTTACGACTTTATGAAGACACTGTCTACCTCTCCTCCTGCTAAATCTGCATTCCTGTAATATCTCCGGTTCTCCCTGATGGAAAACTGCGGCCTGCACGTCTCGTGGTCATTTGAGACATTTTAATGACAGGAACAACGACGGGCTCTAGAGCACTGATGTAAACCCACCTCCACTTTGTTATAGAAAAAAGAAAAGAAAAAAGAAATACACTCTACTGATTTCAAGCCTTCACCGACCTGTTTACATCCATCACTGTTTTCTACAGACTTAAAGTTAAAATGGCGGGGGGAAGCTTTAATAACCATGGTGACATGTAACCTGCTAAATCCATCTGATCAACCACAAGGTCAAGAGGAAATGTGTACGTCTGCAAGAAGGAGATGGGTAATGTTTTTGTCCAGCTGTATAAAACATGATAGTTGTCTCTGTGATGTCACCCATGACGGCCGCCAAATTGGAAATGCAGACTCCACCTTACCTTTGAATGAACCATGAATTTATATCAGGGGACAGTGTGCAACGACATCGATCATTTATACAAAGAAAAATGAAAAGATGGTTTCACCACATTTAGCGAGTTGCTAATTTTATTGTATGGATTATACACAATAAACAACAACAGGACAATAACACACACTGCATGATATAAGGGACAATAATGCTTCTAATGCAGGTTCACAGTAGATGCTGCAATATGAGAGACACTGTAATAACATTTAGGCTAGGTCGCACGATCGCACCCCATATATGGAGGTTATGGTCCTCCAGGCGGGCTATGTGAGTTCTAGACCGGCCTGTGGGTTAGGGTTAGAACTATCTATCGCCTTTCCCACATTTCCCTGGTTTCCTGCTCTATCACCTGTCCTATCCCTACTATAAGTTACTATCAACATTCAGCTGAGGACCTACAGGTCACTTTCCAACACAGACACGAGAAGTCATCGCGGCTAAAATATTATTACAGTATGCCAAATATCACCGCTTGCCCAAAGCTCTGTAGTGAATGATTACAACATCATTTGCAGGGTTTGAATGTGTAAAAAGAACAACATGATGTTGGTGTGTGTTGTGCGTGAATCGTTACCTTGAGTCTGGTCTCAAGGAGCTCTCTGCTGGTGACAATGTGGGTGACCTGAGTCTCATTCAGTCCGTGAGCAATGGCTGGACCTCCCAGTGTGGAGTAAAGGGTGACCACTGCAACACACAAACCAAAGGAAAAAACTGTAATCCAAATACAAACTGGGAATGTTTCTTACATTTAAACAGCAGTCATGTAACACCTGACAGCCTTTTTCTCTTGGTAAAGGAGCAATCAGTGAGATGTGTAGTGAGTGAAATGATAAAGTGATCACACATTAAGGAAACATGCTATGTTGAAGTGCTGGCTTCTCTGACAACAATGCAGCAGCCAGTATGTCCTCCTTCTAACTTTAGATTCTGGTCCTGAATGCTCTGGATTTGTTTGGAAGGTAGGCGGTTTTAAGGCACCCCCACATGGCCGTTTTGGACTCCCCTCAGTTTGCCAGATATGAGAGCAGTTATCAGGTCAAACCAACAGGTGTTGCAGTGATGGAAGCGGACAAGAGAACTGGTTCAGATAGAAGTGATTGTACCCGACCTAAAAAGCCTCTGCATGTTTCTAATAAGCTCCACGAGCAGAAACGTGCTCAAACTAGGATCAATGTTGGAGATGATTTTGAAAAATGGAGAGAGGTTAGAACACAGAAAGGTTTACAGACCGATGCAGAGCTGGATAAACACTGAAGCTTCAGTGTCCACCACATGGTGACCTGCGTGAGCATCGACTCTAGAGAGGAGGGGGCGGGGGGAGACAGCTCTCCCTTTGTGATCGTTAATTACACTGACTCACTGATCACTGGTTACTCAAGAAGTCACATTTCTTGGAATAGACAGGCAAAGTATTATTTTTTTCCCACGATCTACTCTGTGTGCCGTTTCCCCCAAAAATGTCAGCCAGCTGTTCAAACCAAATTCAAGGCAAGTGTCACTTAAATTCTCCCCGTGATTTCAAGGCTTCAAGAGGCAGTCGATGCATCGCTGGGCCGAGAGAAGAGACAGAAATTGAACATTTAGCCAAAACCCTGTGATTAGTACAATATGATGCATCGTTTAGCTGTAACCATCATCATCATTTGGACAGTGAAGCATTTGTGATGATGGACATTGTACGTGCACTCTGTCTACAATCCTCAGGCTTCTGATATGGATCCTCCCATACGCATGACGTCATCAGTTTCCTCAAGAGACCTCAGCACAGCATTGGAGCCAATATGACATAAGATCTTGCTGCAGAAAAGCCTCTTCGGGGATATAAACACTACTGGTGCATGTGTGATGACTAAGATGTCAGAGGGTCACTGGTATGTATGCGTGCATGCACACGGTTTGCCCACATGGTATTACATTGCATTGATGTGAGTACAATTGGAATTACATTTCTACTCTGCTGCAAAAACTCTGTTTTAAGGATTTCTACCCAAACAGGGCCTGACCTTAAAGATTACAGTGAAGTATTAATATGCAGGGTTGAAGCATACGACACACGCCTGCAGTTTACACGTGGTTGGCGGTCAAAAGTTTGAAGTTGTAGTTTGGTAAACTCCCCCTAGAAGGACACTGATACTGATACGATGGCAAGCGGTGGGACGCCATCGCATGAGATGGGATGTGATGCAATGGGATGCATTGGGATGTGATGCAATGGGATACATTGGGATGAGTTTGGATGCGATTCAGTAGAATGCGATGTGTTGAGATACTCTAGAATGCGATGCCATGCCATTCAAAATTCAAGATTAAAACTTTATTGTCTATCATGTAATGATAGAAAATGACCTTTGCCTAGAGGCTCAAATAACAGATAAGAATTCCCCCCAATTAGACTCAAATGTGCAAAGCATGTTAAAAACTGATGTCTGTCTACGTTTATTTAAAATGCTTTGATCATAACTGATTGGTGAAAAGTTGTTCGTTTCTGTCCTCCCTCACTTTGTTTTGTTTGCTTTGGATTGTTTGACTATTGCACTCTTCATAATTAGTATATAAAACGAATAAATGATCAGAGTGCTAGAAGCAAGCTGGTGTCAGATGTGAGAGGAAAAGAAAAGAGAAGGTGAAGAAGGTGATCAGAGGAAACAACAGTAAATAAAGAGAGGGAGAGAGAGAGAGAAAATGAGCTGGAAAAACAAACCCCCTGTCCTTACATTGACACAGACGCATGGGTCAACGGGACACAGCTTAGTGACATCACAATCTTGCGTCATGGAGCTCCTTTACTTCCTGCTTCGCTGCTGTGTATGTGTGTGTTTGTGTGTGCGGATGAGGGCCATGACACCTCCAGCCGTGAGATCTAAACACTCGATCGGGCCCCAGCTCCACTCACACACTCACACACAGCTGTCATTATGGTTCAGAAAGCTTTAAGGGTTCAGGCTCCAAAACATTTTTTGTTAAATATTTTCCTTTAGTTGAGTCCTTTAGTTTAAAAAATGCTTTTTTTAAAGGGGTCTCGAGAGTGAATTTTCCCCAGCTCCACAGAGGAACATATAATCCCTAAACTGTCATTATGGAAAGAGTAACTTCTGCTTGTTCAATCTCTGTATTGAACTCACTTTTACGACGAAGTGTGCAGAACTCACCAACGATGAGTACGACTGCATCTCGACAGAAAAGCATTAAACAGAGAATGTATAATTTTCACACACACGCATGCACACATACACACACACAGGAGGAAACAAGTGTTTGAGTTCACTGGGGGGCCTTTGGCTGACTCCGTGATGCCTCTGTCAACATCAGATGCTCACGTAGACTGCCCCCCCCCCTTCTGACGCCATCAGCCCTCACTTCTCTCCCTCTCCTTCCGTCCCTCCAGCCTTTAACTCCTCTCTATCTCTAGCTCCTCCTCTGCACTAAGTGTCTTATCCCCGGCCTCAGGGTTTCTACTGTCCCAGTGTTTGTGTTTGCAAGAATGAAACACGCTCAATAAAGATGCTTTATTGGCTCCTACTTTCAAAGTATTCTCAAAGCGTGACAGTTTAATGCAGCATAAACCGCAGCCCAGAAAGAATACGAAGGGTCCTTCAAGGACACTCAGAAAGATTAATGAACTCAGAGCACTGATGTGGATGCTCAGAGTAAGAAAGACAGAAACCTTTCGAAGAAAATATAATAAAGATGAAATCGGCAGAGTACTCCTTCAAACAGATAGCTGCAGGTTAAAGATGCAACAGGTGGACGTTTAACTGACTCTGTTAGGGGTGACTATCAACCAGAAAAATATATAATAGGTCCCCTTTAAAGGAGCAATATGTAACTCACCTAGTATTTAAAACCGGTACCTCAGTCTGAACTCAAAACATCAACAACAGAGAGCTGTCTCCCCCCGCCCCTTCCTCTCTAGAATCGATGCTCACACAGGTTGCCATGTGGTGGAAACTGAAGCTTCAGTGTTTATCCAGCTCTGCATCGGTCTGTAAACCTTTCTGTGTTCTAACCTCTCTCTATTTTTCAAAAGCATCTCTAATATTGATCCTAGTTTGAGCACGTTTCTGCTCGTGGAGCTTATTAGAAACATGCAGAGGCTTTTTAGGTCGGGTACAATCACTTCTATCTGAACCACTTCTCTTGCCCGCTTCCATCACTACAACACCTGTTGGTTTGACCTGATAACTGCTCTCATATCTGGCAAACTGAGGGGAGTCCAAAACAGCCGTGTGGGGGTGTCTTAAAACCGCCTACCTTCTCTGGTCCAAACAAATCCAGAGCATTCAGGACCAGACTCTAAAGTTAGAAGGAGGACATACTGGATAGTGTGTTTCAGCCTCATGCTTATATAAAATGATTCAGACATTAGTTTGTGCAGGCTTGTGCAAGAGTGTATAACTCTGATGAAGTGGTTATGTGGGCAAAATGATGGCTACTGTGATACAAGCAGAGACGGCTTTTTATAAACTAAAAGTGGAAAATCTGTCCTTGTGTCAAATCAAAATGAACTATTCTATTTTTAGTATATTTAAGAGTTTCAAACACAACAAGCTGAAACAGATGGACAGAAAAAAAGAAGAAGAGCTGGAACTCTTATGTAATAGCGAGGCAGAAGGGACAAATTGACCTTCTTCTGTCTCAGCTGGTTACAAGTTACAAGTTGTCCACGCCAACCATTCTCACATAAACATAAAACACGGCCGTAAATAAGCTCAGAGGGAAAGATTGCACTGAAGATAACAGCGAGAACGGAGAAAGTACAGTACGACCTCAACTGAGAGTGAATTATAGATCTGAGTGAATTCTTATGTCTGTAATACATGATCCCTCTACCAAACTGTCTCTCGACTACGTAGCAGAAACCCTCAACGCCTTCATAACCTCACGTCTGGACTACTGCAATGGAGTCCTGTTTGGGGTGACCAGCAAATCCCTGCAGAGGCTGCTCCCAGAGTCCTCACCCGCACCAAGCCCTGGCAGCACAGCAGCCCAACCCTCCCCCACCTCAACTGGTCATCGTTTTTCATGAAAATGATCCCTGAACAGAAACGGCTGAACAGTCACAGAGCACCTGACGAGCCTGATGATTCAAGCATCCGACGGCCCATATACGGCCCTGTGATGTGCACAATGTACACAACACTCGTTGGTCTCGTTAAAACCCGACTGATCGCGACACACTAAACAACATTTTTTCTGTGTTGTGGTTTTTAAAGCGATTCGCAACAACAAGACCGGTGGAGAGAAAATGCACAGAGAACTAAAACGGCATGAATGACCACTCAAAAATATTATGGATAAGATGGACTGCTGACAAAATGATTTAGAACATGTGCGGATACTGTTGTTGTGGCAGGGACGTATCGACGGTATTATCAAGAGATGTCAGAGTCAGTGAATGAGCTCTTGAGTTGTAGCCAAAAGCCTAAAAGTTACACATATGATGAGATTGTGCTTCCACACTAAATGATGAAGCAGGTGAGCCAACGTCTGCATGGATGTCGTTGTGAAACCAAACACACGCCATGTGGCGGGAAACGGTCTGGTATCACACACTTACATGGGAAGTTGTACATGAAGCAGGCCTGCGCGGCGATGACCCACTCGGCTCGTGTCTCACAGAAGATGGCGATGGTGTTTTTTGGCCGCTGACCCAGTGAAGCCAAACCACTGCCCAGTTGGGACGCTGCTGTGAGGACTTCTTCGTAGGAGATCCAGCGGTACTCCCCCAGAACCACCTGCAGGGGGGGGAGTTTATTATTGTTCCAGATTAATGAACACCAACAACAATACGCTGTATAAACGTTCCGAATAGGATTAAAGCCTCCACGACCCGTCAGATGTCTTATTGATTCTTTAACTGGAGCCAGTAGTGACCATTTTGAAACAAAAGGGCGGCACTCCAGAGGAACGAGGGGGTCCAAAAAATAAAAATAAAAAATCACAGAATAAAAGTTAGGGATTCTGCAGGTCTGATCTCCTCTTGCAGGCCGTCCCAAGGTCTTGGAGGCTCAGAAAGTTAAACCCCTGTCCCTTTTAGTTTTCAACCTGGACCTTGGAGCAGCCTGTAGAGCTCCACCTGAGGATCTCAGCCTGCGTCCTGGTTCATAAAGGGTTAAAAGTTTGGAACTATAGGAAGCTGCCCCTATACTGAAATAGTTATGTACCACGCTGTAAGCATGTTTAATTCTCCTGTGAAGTTGGTCAATTAACCATGGGGCCTATGGAGAGTGACTCTCCATTGGAGACAGCCCCATGTGGCCACTCAAGGAACTGCAGCATTTGGCCATTGGGATGTTGCGACCTGTCTCCTTTTATGATGTGCTGCTGGGTAAATTCTACAACGAGAGCACAGCACTGCGACATGTGTTGTTTGGCCTGTTTCATATTAAAGTCACAGGAAAGGGAGGAACAGCTGCCAAACAGAACATCCTCCTCTCCTGCCGTCAGGCCGCAGCACCTCGTGGTCATCATCAGCACGAGAGGAAGGAGAGAAACACAGGCCTCTCTGGATCTACTCCTCAGCACTCACTCGCTGATGGTCGGACACAAACACTCATACAGTCAGAGCTCCCTGCATGTATGAGAAGGGTAATACCGACTCCTAGTGGTTGATAAATGGTATTGCACACTGTCATGCAGAACTGTGTTCCACTGTAGGCTCTGAAATGCTAATTCATGTTCCCATTGCAGCAATAAGTGTTTCACCAGAGGGTATTTAGATGGATTAAGAGGATCATGCTGTTGGGATTAGAGGGGTAATTCAGAGGTAATGTTACAGCACAGCAAAGTTGGCAGAACTCCTGACAGTGCAGGAACAATGCACGCTCTAAAATGCACCAATAAGACTGTTGGTAAAGTCTTCTCTTCGGTAACGCTTGCACTAAATAGTGAGGTAATCGAGTTTTCTTCTCAGTTATAGCTCTTCTTTAAAAAGAGAGAAATGACGCATGCATGCTAAAGCCAGGGTTATGCTTTCTCTTCTTGCTCCCACTTTGTGAACAATTTCTCTTTACACTCTTTGACGAATACAAATCACTTTAGGGTTTCCATTCTGTATTCATTCTGCTCTCCGCTCTCCTTCCAGTGAGTAGCTACAATGGAATTCAGGCCATCCTGAGGAAAAACAAGCTGTCAGCTGAGGAGAGAGAAGCAATAATTGGAAGTCACAGTGTGGGACTTGAGGGCGAGGAGATCCAACCTCAGAGAGGAGCTCGGCTGCAGATCGCTTTGCTTTCAAGTCAGAATGAACACTGTGACAAATGTGTGGTGCAGAAAAACAATTACAAAAGTTTTATACTGTAAATACCGCTTTTCCAATTCGGGGTCACGGGGGGCTGGAGTGGATCCCAGCTGACAGACAACCAGCTACACTCACATTCACACCTACGGACAATTTAGAGTCAGCAGTTAACCTAACGAGCATGTCTTTGGACTGTGGCAGGAAGCCAGAGTACCTGGAGAGAACCCACACATGCACGGGGAGAACATGCAAACTCCACACAGAGAGGCTCCTGTCAGACGGGGATTCGAACCAGGAACCTCTTCGCTGTGGGGCACCAAGCATTGCACCACCATGCAGCTTGTTAAAGTAATATTCAACATTTTACAAACATGACAGGACTCTACTAACAAGCCTGATGTATCACAGTTTGGTTAACGGCCTCTTCTCTTCCTCCTGACATTTTTCTTTTAGATTTTGTTTCCTTGCTGACTTTGTTGCTACATTTCCTGCATCACTCCTTACCTTCTTGAACACCTTTCCATTGCTCTGTCGCTCGTCCTCCTCACTGATAACCTCCCTCGTCCCCAGGCAGTCTCTGTGCGGGAACCTGGTGGCTGCGTACTCAAACATCTTATCCAGGGTGTCCATCCCCGGGTGCAGAGACGTCACCAACCTCTTCATGGCGCTCACCGCTCTATAAGGTCCCTCCGGACGCCCTAGCACAGAGCGGGCCTTCGCTCTCTTGGCTCGCTCCGCTTCAGAGCCGTACGAGTCCCCATCAGGCGCGGAGACCCAGCTGAGGATGTAGGAGGGCAGGAAGGTGATGAAGGTGTAGATCCAGACCATGAGGTGGAAGAGGAGCAGCAGCATGGGGTTCAGGTCCTCCTTCAGCTTCATCGTGGAGAAGCTGTGAAGATGCCGGAGAGCAGCGAGGAGAGACTTTGGAGGAAGATGTGATGATGCTGCTCTGACTCTTCCTTCTTTCTTTTGGAGAGACTGACTCCTGACTCCTACTCCTGTGGGATAAATGACATCAGCCTGGCATTAGATAGATGTAGATTATACAAGCGTCCAAAAGGAGGCTATGATCCCAAGCTTTTGGAGACTTAAAGACAGGAATCCTGAGTAATTCAGAAACCGAAACAAAACACATGAAATCAGAAGAGAGCCATGGTATGCCTCTGTGTTTCACATGTTATTCTCTCAGTAAGAGCACAGCATGAATACAGAAAAAGAGGCCGCCAGTGTCGGGCGCTGTTAGCGTCAAAAAGAGACAGCGGGAAAAAAACACAGAAGAAGAAAAAGAAGCAGCAGAGAAGAAACAAAGAAAATGAGTTTATAAAGATGTGAAAACAGGAGAAAGTGAAAGAATGAAATGCAAAGGGAATGCCTCGAGCTGGCAAAAACGAAACCAACTCTGAGAGTGTGTGGGTGTGTGTGTGTGTGTGTGTGTGTGTGTGTGTGTGTGTGTGTGTGTGTGTGTGTGTGTGTGTGTGTGTGTGTGTGTGTGTGTGTGTGTGTGTGTGTGACAGGCTACAAGCCTCCAGACAGACGGAGACGGCCGGGAGAGGAACAGTTCCCAGACAGAACAAGATGGCGCTCACGTACGTCACAGATCCAGCAGCCACATTCTACACATAAAACTCTGCGATGGAAGATTTACAGGGAGTGTGTGACGGAGTGCGTGACGGAGTGTGTGACGTTCACCAAACAGGTTTAATACTAGTATAGTGGTATACCAGTTATACCAGTGTGTTCTTTGCCTTTCTTCTCAGTTTGAAGCACATTGAGTCTACGCCTAAATATGTCTATACGGCGGAGGGAGCTGGGCTCACACATTGCTGCAGAACCTGTTGCATGATCCAAAAGGTTCCTATCATTAATGATATTCATATGTTGCTCTGAAACTGTCTTTAAGATTGTGAAGCAAAAAGAAATTCATTTCCTGTTCAAAATGGCGTGCACACACACACAAACACACTCGGTTGGCCCCAAATATTCCTCTCTAGAAGAAATGTTTCATTTTTCATAAGAAGCACCACATCCTTCCTGTCCACAAAACATGACCACGCTTGTCTCCTAAACACGCTCCTCGCTCAAGTGTCCCTTTGAGACTCATCAATAAATTACAGATTTTAACCGGCAGTGCTCTCTCCGACTCCCATCGTGTCCCTGTGGGATTCTCTGCAGCCTTGTTGTTCTGCTCAGCGTCTTGTTACGCAGCCGGTGTTCCTTTTTTCTTTTTTCCATCACACGACACTGCAGCTGAACAAAACTGCACGCTGCTGGAGAACATGCTGCGACTCACCTCGGGGTCATCCCTATGTCCCCTCAGCCCTATGACATTTTCCATCCAATCAAGTTAAGGCCTGATGTTCCCTCAGCCCTACTTTCCCCTAGCATCAGGATTGGCTCTTCAATAATGCACATGCTGTGTTCCCATCATGATGAGAAAACTGTAAAAAAACAAAAAAACAACAACAACCTTTTTATGATATTATTTCCTGCAAGTATATAGAGTGAAAATATGATTAAGCAGACCTCCTCTTATTTGAAGACATCTTTCACACTCAAACCAAAAACACGTTTAACTAACGTTTTGGACGCCCCTCGGTTTTCCAGATATGAGAGCAGTTATCAGCTCAAACCAACAGGTGTTGCAGAGATGGAATCAGGCAAGAGAAGTGGTTCAAATAGAAGTGATTGTACCCGACCTAAAAAGCCTCTGCATGTTTCTAATAAGCTCCACGAGCAGAAACGTGCTCAAACTAGGATCAATATTGGAGATGATTTTGAAAAATGGAGAGAGGTTAGAACACAGAAAGGTTTACAGACCGATGCAGAGCTGGATAAACACTGAAGCTTCAGTTGTGGCTAAAGTGATAGTCCTCCTTAGGTCTCTGTGAACAGAGGCCTGAGACTTTCCAAAATATTCATACACACATAACCTGTTAAAGGAGCTCAGCTGGTCTTTCTCTCTATCAAAGGTCAAGAACCTGGTTTTCATCAGAGCAGCGAATAAACCGGCTCGACTTTAATCTCTTACCTTAAATAGCCACAAACAGGTAGTTAGTGGGAGTTGCTCAAATGGCAGCTTTGTAAAAAATAAATAATAATCAGGAGCTTTGCAGCGAGCCTCTGCTCCCTGGATTAATTGAGTAATATTGTGACATGGCGTGAGTAGCAGTGGGGTGACCAGGCATGTGTGTGTGTGTGTGTGTGTGTGTGTATGAGGGAATCATAGCTTCCTCAAGAGATTGAGTGAATGGGTCTTTTGTGTGTCCAACGTCATTGTGCTTTCACCCACTCGGCTAAGCAGGCAGGCTCAAGTCTTGCAGAAAACTCAACATGGCCATTGTGGTCAAAACGACGCACCCACACACGACACAGTCCCGAGGGTCAAAGGTTTGTGTGTGTGTGTGTGTGTGTGTGTGTGTGTGTGTGTGTGTGTGTGTGTGTGTGTGTGTGTGTGTGTGTGTGTGTGTGTGGCAGAAAGAAAAAAAAGGGGCATATATGTGGTTGTTTTTTTGCATGCGCGTGGGTGATTTGAAACACATGAATTGAATTTGCCAGTTTTCGATTAGTGACATAATGAAAAGCCTGCAAAGAGTTTGAAAGTATAATTCAGAGTAAAAGGGTTGATTATGTGGATCAGACCGCAGCTTGTTGTGTGCGCATGGTGACATAAAGATCTGGCACACATGCCCGTCACCGAGCTTCTCTTCTGCAAGCCCCCCTAACGTGCTATATACAGGAGTTTAATCAGTATAAAGTAGGCTTTGTTAACAAGTAGTTCAACAGAATCACAATCTGAAGTAAAGAGTGGAGAAGAACATACTGGAGAACAGGAAACATAATGCAGCAGGTTCATTAGAGCACAGAGATGGTAGAGGTGGCGTGCAGACAGTCTATGGTCGTGCAGCGATCACAGGGAATAAACGTCACCACCCCCTCCCACTCGCTCCAGGTGAATTCTCCTGATTATATCCTGCTGTGTTCTATCATCAGCTCACTCTGACTTACTGCAGAATAAATACGAGGAGGCTGGAGGAGAAACTCCGGGTGAAGAGAGAAACATTCAGCTGTTTGTGTTCACACATGACGCTCCTCCTGGAAATATTTGGAGTTTTTCAGGAGTTTTCTGCAGGTGTGAAAGCTCTATATGTGAGATCCAGATGTTGTTGGATGCTCCGTTTGGATCAACCCCCCACAGATTGGGCCACATGCGATTGAAGTAAATTCAGTCTTTTAAAATGTATTCATACCTGAAGTTTTTGCGGGCTTTATCGTGCAGGTATCAGCTGCTGGTTACAGGTGACAACAATCCGAAATGTATCGTCAGTAACGTGGCAGCCTGTTGGAGTCTGTAGCTGCAAACGTAGTCTAACAAACTCTGCTACAGAGCGCTGTGTTCACTCCAAACACTGAAGATATAGTCACTAAACACATGAGTTTAAGAGCAGTCCTCCTGAAACTCTCTCAAAATATTTCAGGAGTGCATCATGTGAAAGTAGCTAAAGAGGCGTCAGTATTAAGTTAGAACTCTTTATGACTTATTAAAAACGCCTCCTGCTCCTTTTTAGTTATGGTATTATAACATCATAGCACTCTAATAATTCTGCACTTTGTGAGCAGCTGCCACCAGCCGGAGGGGAGAGAGAGAGAGAGAGAGAGAGAGAGAGAGAGAGAGAGAGAGAGAGAGAGAGAGAGAGAGTGTTTCTGTGTCGTCTGTAATCATATCAGACCATTTCTGCAAAACAATTGCATCTCTGTCAGTAAGTACAGGAGCACTCTCATGGGCCTGCATCATTTGACAGCCACTGCCACAGGACGGTCCACTTCAGCTGTGTAAATATAGATTTTTAAAACGGCAAACCGGCCGGAGGTTGCGAGTGAGGCCTGCAGGGAGGTGACAAAAGTCTTTCAGTTCTGGATTTTGATTAGAATAAGTGCTGATATTGATTCGGTTTCCTGTCGACATTTCAAACATCATTTATCTTTTAAAAATGGTTTTAGAAAAGTTTGCTTACTAAGTATTTAAGACACCTGACACATGACATTTATGAATTATTATATATCATGTTAAAGGAGCAGTATGTAACTCTGACACCCAGTGTCTAAAATGGGTACTTCAGTCTAAATTCTAAACATTGTAGAGAGCTGTCTCCCCCCGCCCCCCCTCAGTGTTTAGCCAGCTCTGCATCGGTCTGTTCTCTCTGATGAACGTTTGGACAAAAAAAGCATCCGCTTAATGACTTTTAAAAATGTAGATCTGTAGGTGTTGTACGGGGAGACAGAGACAGCAGGCTGGGAAACTGATTTCATGTTTTTAAATTTCTCATTTATTTTAATCTTCTAGACCCTGTAGCCTCTACATATCATCTGGTTGGATTGGAATCTGCAAAATTTATGCACTTCTGCACTTTTGCATGTATCATGCATTTTGCACTGTCAACGTTTCTGTATTATCTGTGCCTTAATAAGTTTTAATTGACTCTCCCTGCAACCAAATGTACAATACATGGGTACAAATAAAGTAACCTGAACCTGAGAAGAAGTCACCTGTTGGTCAAACGTGAAGGAAACTGTGGTCAGTGTAGGAGTCTGACATCATCTCTGCAAACATGGAGGTTTTTTAAAAGAAATGTTCCGGAGACATTTCAAGAGGAGGGACAACTGACAACAGTTTATAAAGCTTACATGACATCACACAGCTCAGCTGAAAAAACCGACACGAAGACCTGCAGAGAAGTAACAAAAAATAAAACACAGCTATAGAAATCGGCTTAAACTTGAACTTGAACTTAAACATGGATATGGCCCCTGAGCTTCACCACGCAATGGGCGTGTCTCTCATTTAAACAAGATGACGAGTACAGCCACAGATGTTCAAGCTGCAACATCCACGAGCTCGCACTAGGGTCAAGAAACCCACAATAACCACATCACTTCCGGTTGGAAATTTCACAATAAGATATGCCGTATTCTAATGACCTATACTGAAATCAAAAGTCGTTAGAGTTTGTCAAACCAGTTTGTGGCACAGGGTAACTAAAACATCCAACCACGAGCCTAACCTTTACAAATGTTGCTCATACCTCAGTATCTATTGTTTCTTATTATTATTATTATTATTTCCTTTTTTCCACTTAGTTGATCCAATTTTTTGCACTTTCACTTGTGATCTGTAATATTTAGTAAGGGCTTTTTTTTATTCTCGTGTGAACAAATGTAAACAAATGAGTAAACAAATAACCACCAACTCTCACTCCTGCCTTATTTATAAGCTTCCGTGTTCATGTCGACCATGCAATAATATTCTTGGTGTTTTATTCTAAAGGAAATAAAGATGGATACGACCGGGTTTGTCTGAGCCTTATCTCGGGCAGCTGCAGCATCCCGCACATCTGGTCAGGCTGTAAACGAGCATCACAGAGAAAGACAGAGAAACTTACCGGTCAATGTTGTCACCTCCCCCCGGCTGCAGGAGCGGAGAGACAGGACTCTGACCTCGCCGTGCTGGACACTGACGTGTGAATGAATTAATCCACCGGCTCTAATCGAAACGCTGATATTGCACCGAGCCCGGAAGTGACACGCGTGTCGTGTTGTTGTGCGTGGATGAATGGCGGGTTGGGGTTGTCGTTGGGAGGGGGGTGGCGGTGGGGTGTTGGGATCAGTCTCTGCGTTATGATTGGACTCGTGGAGGTGGCGCGTGCTATGGGCCGGGCCACGTTGGAAGGAGGGCTCGAGGAGGCTGCACGGGTTACTGTGTGTCACAAGAAGGAAAACCAGAGGCCATCATCTCATGTATGCACACAACCCCTGGTCTCATAGTTTCCACCATTAGTTTAATCAAAATAATAACGAAGACAAAAGAAAGTTTTTGTTACAATAAAGATAAAGATGATAAAGATGTAATAAATGATGCTCTGGTAACTAGCTCCAATAAAGCAAGAGGCCACTGCAAAAATGTTTACCTCTGCTTCTATGGTTCTTCTATTAGGAAATGACATGGATGTTTTTATGTTTTTAATGCACTGTTCTTTCTAATTTGTGCACCTCTTTTATGGATTACGCAAACATTTTTGTAAATGAAAGGGCAATTTGCACATAAGTTGCATTGCTTTTCACGTACCTGTTTTCTAAAATTGGAAGTGCATCTATATTAAAAGAAAATAAACTAGGCTTAATAGACTTCATCGTGCCCTTTTTCTTTTATATCTTTACAAGCAATAACCTCCCATCATTGTTGAATGAAGCCGATGCTGAGGTGTAAAATCCTGCAGTTCCTCAAGTGTCCACTAGAGGCTGGCTGCAGAAGCACAGGAAGTCACATACACACCGATTCAAAAAAGCCTGTTTTTACAGCAGATAATAACATGTTTACAGCCTGGTTCAAAAAACCAAATAGGTCTGATTAGCTCATGTCTCGATCGACACACACTGTACGGGGGGTGAATGTTTTGATGACTCATCCGTTTTGATTTAATGAAGGATAAGAGTTATTCACAATATGGCGTGTAGCTGACCTGATTGACAGGTGGGCGAGGTGTAACTGTTTGTCAGGAGGCTTAAAACCCGCCTCAGCTCCAGCTCTCAGCCTGTCGTTAGGTTGACTGAAAGTTAGACTGAGACAGCATTTCCAGCATGGAGACCGCCATCGATGGGACTCCAGCGCCCCCTGCAGGAACAGACGGTTTACGTCACTCAGGCTTCAAACATTCATATTTACAGTCTCTGATATAATAAGACGATATAGTCAACTTGTACCATCAGTTTAGAGGATTTTAAGACTGCTTCGAAAACGTAGAATAAAGGTGTAAACCGTTGCTTTGTGAATGAGTAGTGGGACATTTAGTGGCTGAATGTTCCATAGCATCTTTAAATACAAAGAATACATGCCCATGTTGTGATTGTCAAAACCGTTGGAAGACGTCAGGAGCTGTCTTCCTCACGTATGTTAGTACGTACCTTCATTCATAAACACATGGGATTTGTTGAGCTCAAGGGGTGCACGTGATCCAGATTTTCACAAGCTTTATGGGCGGATTTGAACTGGCAACCTATTGATTGCATACCATGCCGAAGCAAAGGCATCGCAGTTTATCTGATGAAACATTTCTGGAATGCTTTTAATATCGTAATGTTTGACTTTGTCAGTGCCAAAGTTTTCCTTTTTAATGTTGATCATTACAGAGCTGATGAAGCATGGTATGAAACTATGACCCTGACAGGCTGACGACTCACTCTGACTGTAAAGGAGACGGAACCACAAGCAGATTTCAGATTCACTGACATGTGGAAACGAGGCCTCCTGTCCTGTTGTCTCCACTTTTTCAGATTTGACTTAATTTCCAGTTTGCTTAATTTATGATATCCTGTTTTTCCATCACTTTTAATAACTGACCAGCAGAGCAGACGACTCAAGCTTTCCTAAAGAATTCACAATACATGTATTTTTTTGAGTTAATGTGAGTGTTGCTGGTTGTCTGTCGATCATGGGGCTGACTAGTGTAAACCTGCCTCTCGACCAATGACAGCTGGGATCGGCTCCAAGGTCAATGTGTGATCTCATAAGGTGGATATTACTTTGGACTCGTCAGCTGAGCTGTCTGAGAGTTTGTTAAAGTGAAATGAGACATTCAAAGATGCAGCAGTGTCCTTCTTTTACATCACTGAGACTACAGGGAGACACTGAGGAGGCTGGTCCATGGGGTTTGCAATTAATACATATATTAATACAATATTGATAATAAGAGACAGATTGCATTACATGTAGATGTACTGCATTACTCTGTTTCTAGTTGGTGACATCAGCCTCCAGCAGCTTCTGCCATCAGTGTGCGGATGACCTAATGTGACCTGAGGTGTAAACAGACGAGAAAAGACACTAGAAAAGTCCATTTACTTACCTGAGCTCAGCTTCAGCTGCTCAGGTTTCAGACACGTGCGTGGAGCGACACTCAGCGGTTGACATGAAGAACTGCAACGGACTGTGACAAAAGCGAAGTGGAAAAAGATTGTCCCCTCCGACTCTCCGTTGACTACCGGTGTTGTTGCTGTCATGTCGGCTCCCTTCATGGTAAGTTACCCTTCAGACGCTTTGCTGCACTTCACAGACTCATGTAGCAGATTAATCCTCTCACATTAGTGAGTGAGTTTGTTATAAGACCTTGTTGATTATTTATTCAGAGGCTGAAACGGGTTCGACGTTTACGTACTAATGCAGCATGACGATGAGAAGTCAAACGAGATGATTGAACTGAGCTCACATTTAGCTCGTTTAGAGAAGAACAGAATAAAAACGAAGTAAATCTGTGTCTTCTTTTTTCAAGCTAAAGGAAGACATGTGTCTTTGCCATTAAGGAATAAAAATTAACACTTGATGGCACATTTGAAAACAATTTAAAAACAGCAAACACAAAGTAATCTTTATTGTATTTCAGAACAATCGTTCCTCTCCGAACCACGGTGCAAACTGCAACAGTGTAAAAGATATATAACTTTGTGCATTCAAGACAACAACAACATCAAATGTGCATGCACTTGAGATGTAAATAAATACAAGACATTATGCCCCAGTGTATTTTTCAAGTCCTTTTTTCTTTTACAATGAGAGATGCTTCTGTGTTGCTGATGAGGGGAGGACAGTTTGAGTTATAAAGTGACATTAGTGTAAAGTGTCACAGTTTGGTTCACAGCTGTGATTAATATAATCTATGAGGCAGCTGACTCTAAAGTGTCCTTTTAAAAAAAAAAAATGCTTTCTTTGCACAGCCAACTCTGCAGCTTTTTACCATATAAACTGTAATGAGAGGACCAAGAGGTTCAGACAAACACAGTTAAGTAAAGACTCCCTCCTGACTGAATCACCTGCTCCCATCCTCTCTCTACATTGACTCTCTGCAGAGATGCTGCCAGCGCTCGGCTCTCCTCTTCGCTGCCACCAGACGACCATTGAGCTCCAGCTCGGTTTCAACTCCTCTGCACAGGAGGCTGCTCCTCTTCCTCACCCAGCGTTACTATGACGTCGAGATGCTGCTGAGCTGGAAGTCTAACTGGAAGAGGAGGGGGATTGAGAAGAAGAATGCGTAAGTAATGTTTTGGTTGTATTGCACTGAACGACACACGCAGACCAGTGATGCCTCTGATGCTGCTGCTCTTTTGGCGCGGCGTCCTGAAATATAGGAAGGATGTCCTGAGTTCATATGGAGTTTAATCAGAGTCTGTGTGGGGGCATCATTGATTAGACATGCGAGCAGAAGGGAAGAATCTGTTCTTGTGGCATGAGAGTTTGGGCTTGTGGACGGCAGACTTTCACCAGAGTAGGGGGTCTTAAAGAGTCCCCACTCAGGGTCCTGGAGGTGTAGGGGTCGTGGAGAGATGTCATCCAATCACCCTCTTTGCAGAATGGATGTCACGCTGCAGCCTGCCCTTGTACACGTCAGCGGCAGCAGCGTACCATATTTCACCATGACAGATTTTCCTCTTTCTCTTTTTCACAGTTACTATGGTTACACTGAGAGGTTACATGGGCCGGACATCGCGGCAGCCTTTTACATCTTGACCATGAAGGGTTCATTTAGGTAGGTGCCCTTTTCTCCTGTTCTTTTGGTGCCAATGATGTCATGATGTCACCAACAGCAAGGTGAAAGACTGATGCAGATTATGCCAACATGCATGAAAGTTGTAATGAAAACAGATTATGTCGTCTATATAAAAAAGCTTGTTCAGGCTGGAAACCAGAGCCAAACTCTGATGCTCAACTTCTGATGTTGTGGTTTGTGATGCGTCCTCAGGTACGTCGGCCAGTCAGAGTGGTTCGGTTCAGACCCCAGTGCCAAATTCAACTGGGACTTCTTGAATCACAAAGACACACAACTAGAGGAAGTGAACATGAGCCACACACTCATCAGCTTCAGGGGACTGAGGAACCTGGGTAAGGAACTTTGTCCCCAGGCCTTTGCACTCTGAGTCCGTCCCATCTCTAGTCCGATAGACAAACATTACACGCAGAAAACCTTGCACACTGGGTCCAATGCGTTAATTCTTAAATTAACTGAAGGATTTTGCAGTACCAGACAAAATGGAGTCATGAAGCAGTGAAGATGATGTAGTAGTTTAGTAGAAGGAAACTCTTGCACTTCAGCCACTCCACAAATGGAGGTCGGTACTCTCGATCACTGACTGAAGACGTAAAAAATATAATTCAGTGGATACCTTCTTCAAGACAGGAACCAAAGAAAATACTGCAGCACACACATCACTGAAAGGAAGAATATGTGATTTTTCACACTTAAATGTAGCAGAAATCAAGTATATCCTCTAAAAATAACTCTCTGAGTCATGACTGTCTACAATGAGTGTGCCCCCCGAGTCCCGCTGTCTGTGATGTTGTACGAGCCGTATCTACAGCGTGTTTACATGGACGGGACGGCCAGCTCCTCCCCTTGTGTATATAAGTTGTTTAATTGAGGGACTAGAGAAAAGAAGAATAACATACTGTACTCACTGCTTATTTGAATGTCACGTAAGCGTTTCTAGATCACGGTCATTTACTGTAAATGTACATGCAGTGTGAAGATACGAGCATAATAAAGATCGCTAGCATTAGCATGCTAAAACAACAATGCAGCGCGAGTTGTTTTGGTTTCATGCTGGTGCTCAATGGCGACATCTACTTAATCAAAAAGTTGCATATTCTTCCCTTAAGGCAAATTTAATAAAAGTGCAGAGGACTCACGTTGTCAACGCACTGCGTCTTCCTCTAGTGGTTCTTTGGTTCTGAAAAAAGAAAAAAACACTCGGTCCACCCACTCTTGAAAACAAGACAAGAGTGAGGAGATTATGACATGCCGATAAATGAGCTGCAGAATCATCCCGGTCGTTTCAAAGTGCGTTTCAGGATGTCAGTGATCCAGCTTGATATGCTGCTCACTTTACTGGATCCTGAACAGCGGCTGGTAGTATATTTGAGGTATGGACATTTATTGTCACACACACACACACACACACACACACACACACACACACACACACACACACACACACACACACACACACACACACACACACACACACACACACACACACACACACACACACACAAACTGCAGAGTTCGGAGTCAGTGTGCAAGCATGAGATCGTATTTCGGTGGGAAAAAACAGACTCAGTGTGCGAAGACCTTCACTCTGTCCTGCGTACGTATCTTTCATTTCAGTAATGTTTCATATGTAATTTACGTGTTTTAATCTGCTTCGTCAGAGGGGCAGCGGTCTTTGCGGACTCTGTCGTTACGAGGATGTCCTGAGGTGGACGACTGGTTCCTTTCCAGGCTCCATATCTTCCAGGACTCTCTGGAGGAACTGGACATCTCCCAGTGCCTGCGCATCACTGCAGGGGGCCTGGCTGCACTCAGGAATCTCAAGTAAATATCCACACTCTCACTCACCTATTTGGATGTGTAGAGTTCCTCCTTCATGAGTTTGTGTGTGCAGGGGACTGCGGCGGCTGGATGTGTCGTCCCTTCCGAGGATTTCCAATCCTGGGTTGGTTGTGATCCTGCTGGAGGAGATGTTACCGCACTGCCAGATCACTGCTACTGGCTACAACTACAACCCGAGGCAGGAGCAGGATGAAACAGCCCCTGCAAGGACGGAGGTAGGGACTGGGCAAGGATAGGAATCTGAGAACCCGACGTTGGATAAGCAGAAGAAAATGAATGGGTGGATGGAGGAATCCAGTGAATCAAGGGACTCATTTAGGAAAGAAAGATTCCTGTGAGAACGCCTGGCTGTCACTACTCTGACAGAAGAGGCATCGATAGAGCGAAGACACTTCCAGGGAAAATGGTGGACATGATACCTGCTGTGAGCCGTAAACTCTTAACAAAAATGTATGGCCTTACCTTTTCTTCAAAGGTACATGTTTAACCTTCTGCTTGTTTTTCCCCCAAAATGCCAAATTACACAAGAAAAAGTCCTGTCTGTCCCGAAAGAATCAAGACGGTGTGGTGATTTATGTATTAAAATGTAAATATGAGTCTGACTGAATAAAGATGTGTTCTTAAATACCATGATAGTTGTTGTTTTTTTACCTGTGTCTGTGAATCTTTGAGTCGTGTTAAGACGATGGTGACAACGTTCTCACGCATTTTAATCTGTCTGTGTTTCTAATCTTCACTCTGGAAGTTTATGTGAGAACTCAATCCCATAATCCAGTGCAAGCCGCGTGCTGCAGGAGTGGGCGGATGAGGACAACAGAGAGAACGGGAAACCAGTTAACACTTGTGTAAGTCAAGGTCTTCATCTTCAGTAATCTGAACGCTTTGATGTAAAGTCGTATGAGCTACTGTCACTTTCCTCCTCATTCTGCATAGGATATATACGGGTTTCTTTTTCTCTCTCTTGTTACCTTCATGTAAACAGCGAGGCGGTGGTAAACGCTCCTGTGAGGGGCGAGTTCAGCGCCCCCTGTGGTCAAGGCGCTACCTCTCAGCTCGTTATTGATTTTGTCCAGGACGTGTAAATGCTGTTAGCGTTAATGTGTTAATTGTGTTGTTGTACATGAGGCTGGTCTTGGTCTCAAGACCACTTTTTGAACGTCTCAGACTGACATTTATGGTCTCTGTCTCGCCCCGATTTGGTCTTGGTCTTGACTCGGTCTCGATCCCTACATGTCTCGGCCTTGGAGCACTCTGGTCTCGGGTATGTCTTGGTCTCAGTTAGTGTGGTCTTGACTACAACACTAGTTAATTGTTAATGTGATTAAGATCCGAAATTCATGCATTCATTTTTTTAATCTCCTGCTATTTTGTCCCTTTAGGCTCACCGTAGATAGTGGTCCTCAGTGTCTCCCTGTAGTCTCAGTAATGTAAAAGAAGGACACTGCTGCATCTTTGAATGTCTTTCACTATAACAAACTCTCAGACAGCTCAGCTGACGAGTCCAAAGTAATATCCACCTTATGACATCACAGATTTATTTGTTTCAAGACAAATACAACACAAGACACACAGACTATACATCTATGTACAACTATAAACATATAATCATAGAGGTATCAAACAAAAACAATAGAAAAACAGGCTTACAGTACAGAATCAGTAATCCTGATCTTGTAATATCTGGACTGTTTGAAAAGGTGGAGAAGGTAATATGTCCTCTTTAAGGTTGTATTTAAACATTGTTCTGAATTTTGGGATCCACGTGCTAACTAGATATAATTTCCCCACTGAGATCTCCAGAAGCTTGAGACATCAGGTGTTGAGTGACATTCTTGAAAAAAGCTCAAAGTCTGCCTTGTTATTTTTAGCAAACAAAAATAAGGCCTTGCGTTTCACATGATTTTTAAGCCCCCTGGCATTAACGGACATTAAAGACAAAGAAGAATATTTTTAATATTTTCACGCAGAGAAATGTCAGTTCAGGTGAACAAAAGTCATGCTGAGCAGTGAAAGAGTCCACAGCTTAACAGACACAGGAAGGAGTGTCACTTAAAGACACTCAAACATTTACAGAACAGACGAGAAGAGGTCAAAGTACCGCCCATAAAGTTTGATTGACAGGTGACCATGATCAGAGTTCAGCAACGAGCATACATTTTAAAAAATCAAGTTGAAGATTTAAAACACAGAAAGTTAAACGTCTGTCTCGTTAATGACTTCTGTCTATTTCAGTTTACACAACTCAGCAGAGTCTCCAAAATAAACAGTCCTGAGTCCAGCATGTAGAGGCTGAGTGAATGTGGTCTGGACTCTGTGGAGGAGAGTCATAGTTCCAGAGATGCTGTAGAAGGACAGAATACCTGCTCTGTGATCCAGGTACACTCCTACTCTGGAGGACCGAGGACCTGAGACAGTAGTTTTGACTTTGTTGTAATAAAAGTTATAACTGTTGTTGTCACAATCTAACATCCAAGATTTGTCATTGAATCCAAACCAACATTCACCTGACCTTCCTGCTCTGCTGATATTCTTGTATGCGACTGCTACAGAAACTCCTACTCCTCTCCACTCCACTTCCCAGTAACAACGTCCAGTCAGACTCTCTTTACTCAGGACCTGCTCCCAATCAGTGAATCTGTCTGGGTGACTAGAATAAGTCTGTTCTCCACTCAATGTTACTTTTCTGTTCCCATCAGATAATAACAGCTGGGTGTATGCTGTGTTTGGATCCAGTGTGATGTCACATGAATACTTTAAGAACTCGGCTCTGGTCTTGTTCTCTGGTTCTGACAGTAAAACCTCCACTACAGTCACTGTCTGTGAGATGTTTATCCATTTCTCTCTCAGGATGTCCTGTAGTTTATCTCTGACTTCTGACACAGCTGCTGTCACATCCTCAAAGAACCTCAGAGGACGGATATTGATGCTGGATGAGTGTGTAGATTCACTGAGGGGTGACAGTGAGGGGTAGTCGTGTAGAAACTGGTTGTGGTTCTGTGTTTGTGACAGCTTCTCCATCTCAGCGTCTTTCCTCTTCAGCTCAGCGATCTCCTGCTCCAGCTTCACCTGAAGCTCTCTGACTCGACTCACTCAGATCCCAGTTTGCTGCTGGGATCTGACCTGCTGCTTCACATCAGAGCGTCTTTCCTCCATGAGACGGATCAGTTCAGTGAAAATCTTCTCACTGTTCCCCACTGTTTTATCAGCGGAGCCGTTGATATCCTCCACCTCCTGTTGGAGCAGCTTCGCATCTTTCTCTCTGTCCTGGATTTTCTGCTGGACGTTTTGTCGATTCACCTCAAGCTCTCTCTGCCTCTCACTCCTTTCTGCTGCTGCTGAGACTGTGTCGTGACCTTTATGTTCGTCCACAGAGCAGAGATAACAGATAGACTGCTGATCAGTACGACAGAACAGCTTCATCACCTCATCATGACGAGAGCACACATTCTCCTGGAGCTTCTTGGAGGGCTCCACCAGCTTGTGTTTTGCATATGCAGGTATTTCATAATGAGGCTGGAGGTGTTTCTCACAAAATGAGATTAAACAGACCAGACAGGACTTTTGGGCTTTCAGTTTTCTCCCAGTGCAGACATCACAGGCCACATCTTCAGATCCAGCATAGCAGTGATCAGCAGGAGCAGCTCGGAGTCCAGTCTTCTTCAGCTCCTCCACTAAATCTGCTAACACGGTGCTTTTCACCAGGACAGGCCTCGGTGTGAAGGTCTGTCTACACTGAGGGCAGCTGTAGATTTTCTTCTCATCCTCTTTATCCCAGTGGCTTTTAATACAGTTCATGCAGTAACTGTGTCCACAGGGAACAGTCACCGGATCCTTCAGGACATCCAGACAGATCGAACAAGAAATAGTTTCCTGGTCAAGCTGAACTCCTGCCATTTCTCCTCTCAGTAACAACGACTGTCTGAGTTTCACTTACTTAGAAATCAATAGCTCCACCTCTGATCTACACAGCATGTGTTTGTTCAGTGAAGGTCATGCTCTGGTTGGTTGGGAGAGAACCAAGAAATACAGAGTGGAGCTGGTTGTGTTTGAGAGCAGGAAAATCAAGCTCTGATTCATTCCAGGAAGAGGAGCGGTTTGAGAGCGATACTTGTTTACAACAGAGAACATTTCTCTTTTAAAAACACTTCTCATTTCAGATTTTAGAAGATGAACTCTTTTTTGAATTGAATGGTTTGGAGAAGGCTTTCTTGTTTCTGATATCTTCATGTCCTAACCTTCCATCTACAGGAAGGGCCTTACTGTATTTCCAAGTAAAGCATTTTTTATCCAAACAGGAAGTAGGCCTACCGTGTAGTAAGTCCTGATGAAGACTCAGTTGAGTCAAAGCACGTAGACACTTCCCTGTTTTAATTCAGGATTTTTATACTGCAAGACTGCTTCGGACTTTCAGTTTAGACTGCCTTTCTTCACAACAAACTTTGTAATCAGGACAGTCATTACAGGAAGTAAAGTACCCTCAGCTTAAAACAGTGCAAACATTCAAAATAAAAGGGTTACAGAAACAAAAAAATGAAATTTCAGACACACCATTTAAATGCCATTCATTGTGATTAGCTATTGAAATTGAGTGATTAAAAGTGATTTGAAAAAAAGCAATGTATTTTTCTTGACAATAATGTCATCATGCTTTCTTTAAAACGTCAAATGCCAATATTTACAGCCTATGTCAAATGCATCATTAATCCAGAATATTAGCTCTGAAAAAATGTTTTGAAAAACGATTTTTGCTGATGGATTATTTTGCTTATGTGGGCTAGGTCATAAAGAAGCATAAATATTTATTACAATCTGTTTCAGAACGAGTTAAAACTCATCACAGGAGACTTCCATTCTAGGAGGACGGAGGTTTGCCCCGCAAATCCAGTGTCTTAAAGTCTGTCTGTATCGATCTTTTTATGCCCAGAACAAAACTGCAAACACACTTTATTCCAATGGTTCCTACTTGTGGTAGGAACCCTTACCCTAACCATTGTGGTTACAGTCTATGGTTCCTACTTGTGGTAGGTTCCTACTTGTGGTAGGAACCACATTCTACTTGTGGTAGGAACCATTGTGCAGACTGCAGAGGGACACGGACCGACTTCCTGACGGACAACAACAGCACCTCCCCTGTGATAGCTGTGTTGTGGATACTAAATTGCTAACTTCGTGAAATCTGGGGTCCACATTAGTTGTCACTCGGACCCTTCTGGCTTGAGGGTTTCAGTAGACGGATAAATGTCTGATGCTGCAGGTAGGATCTCCGTCTCATGTGAATAAGGACTAAAAACACTCTGATAAACAGCGCTAGCTAGCAAGCCTGGTTAGCAATGTCTGTAACATCACTTACACATCGAGAAGGGTTTGTTTAATATATTCCGGTGTTTAATTTATTCCTAGAACCTCCTAAAAGAGAAGAGGAGGAGGTGACGCTTGAACCAGAGGTAAGAAAACAGCCGTGTGAGAGTCACTGAGACTGTGAATGTTAGATTAGGAGGTTTACTTACTGAGGTAACTAAAACCAAGCAGCCATTTACACCCGGCTTACTGCGAGAATAATCACTGGTGTTGTTTTAATTTGTAGGATCAATCCGACGACAGCAGTGAGGAGGAGGCTGCAGGAGGCACAG